AGAAGCCGTCGTCGCAGCGGCGGCATCTGCTGAGTGGATGGCCGAGGCCGAGGTGGGGGAGAGAGAGGGAGAAGGGGATCGTTTGCGGGGCAGGGAGGAGGTGGGGGCAACTCGCCGAATCTTTCCTTGATCATTCATCAAAACGCATTGGCAGGCCAGGCCACATATACGCGCCAGCCAAATTTTATCAGATGGCCTCGCCCACCACCTCCTCCCTGCCCCGCAAACGATCCCCTTCTCCCTCTCTCTCCCCCACCTCGGCCTCGGCCATCCACTCAGCAGATGCCGCCGCTGCGACGACGGCTTCTTCAACCAGCGGACATGCCCCCGTGGACCGCGTCGAGATCAAGCGCCGCCTCGTCAGAGCCAAGAAGCTCCGGAAACCGCTCAACGATGACGACAACAGCGACGACGCCGCAGCCCAAGCCCACCCTCCAAGCTCCGATGTGGGCATAGGCTCAGGCCGTCACTCGACGCCACATGAGCATGCACCACTTCCGGATACGCAGGCTCAGCCGGATTCACAAGAGAGGGAAGGTCGCGGCCAGGACCGACAGGCCCAGGACCAGAACGACCACGCGACTCCGACAACGGCGCCTTCCTCGATACCACCGTCACCTCCACCTGTCACAGCTCTGACACAAGGAGGCTTCCCACGCAGCGAGTATGCGCCCCGGAGGCAAGACCACCCCGGCCTCCACGGCTGCAGGTCCGTGTACAAGTACACGCGCCTGAACCACATCGAGGAGGGAACGTACGGCGTTGTGTTCCGCGCTCGCTGCAACGAGACGCAGCGCGTGTATGCGCTCAAAAAGCTCAAGCTCGACGATGAGCGGCACGGGTTCCCGATCACGTCGCTGCGTGAGATCAACGCCCTCATGACGGCAGGTGACCACGAGAACGTCGTGGGCGTGCGCGAGGTGGTCGTGGGCGACACGTTGAACCAGTGAGTGACCTGTCAGATGGGAACCGTCGGGAGTCCCGACCACGGAGGTCGTGCCTATCTGATAAGGATAGGCGGCAGTACCCGCCGACTACTGGAACCTACGCTGACAGCAAAGGATCTTCATCGTGATGCCATTCATCGAGCATGACCTGAAGACGCTGCTGGCGGACATGCCTGCGCCCTTCGTGCAGAGCGAGGTCAAGACGATCATGCTGCAGCTCCTGTCTGCCGTCGAGTTCTGCCACGCCAATTGGATCGTAAGTCTCGAGATTTGTATAAACTCGGAACCCACCCTCGCAACTCCCGGCAATTACCAATTCCGCTGTCGGTCATCGTGGGTCCGTCGTGCCGGCCGAGATTGCGTATCGTCTCCGGCACCGGCGTGAACGAGCGTGTAGCATGTGTGGCATGTGACCCTTCCCTCCCCAAGCTCGGCAGTGCCTGTATAGCTAACAGCAGCTGCACCGCGATCTCAAGACGAGCAACCTGCTCATGACGAACCGGGGCCAGATCAAGGTCGCCGACTTTGGCCTTGCGCGCAAGTTCGGCGACCCGCTCGGCGAGATGACCCAGCTCGTCGTGACGCTGTGGTACCGCTCGCCCGAGCTCCTGCTCGGAGCAAAGGAGTACACAACGGCAGTCGACATGTGGAGCGTCGGGTGCATCTTTGCCGAGCTGCTGCAGAAGGAGCCACTGTTCCCAGGCCGCGGCGAGATCGACCAGTTGAACCGGGTGAGTGTGCCACTGCAGTTGACAGTATCGCTGACATGAGATCTTCACCCTGCTCGGCCGACCAAGCGAGGACGCCTGGCCCGGCTGGTCGCGCCTGCCAAACGCGCGGAGCATCAACGCCGTCGGGCCCGGGTTCTCGCAGCTGAGGCAAAAGTTTAAGCACCTGTCGTCAGAAGGGCACTACCTCCTCTCCAGCCTGCTGTGTTATGACCCCGAGCGCCGCATATCCGCCGAGCAAGCAGGCAAGCACGCCTACTTTGCCGAACAGCCTTTGCCAAAGCACCCCGACCTGTTCCCTAGTTTCCCCTCTGTCGCATCGGGCGAGAGGCGGCACAAGCTCCTGCACTCGCCGCCGGCGCCGGCACACGAAGAAGTGGACTCGGAGAAGATCGACCTCGAATCGTTTGTTTAGAGTGATATGTAACAATCTGTTGTACAACGTAAAACAATGCATAACAACGTTAAAACTGATCGTTCCCGCACTGCACTCACTCCCTCTCCAACGTCCAGTGCTACAACCGGGCTACACGAACGCAGTATCGAGCCCCTGGCTAAAGTCGATAATGGCGATGCGGGCATCAAGGCCGCTGGACACGACGCGCATCCGATCGCCCGTGATGGCGAACACGCGGCCCGAGTGACACCCCTCAAAGTCAAAGATGAGCCGGCCCGACACCCTGTCCCAGATCTTGGTCGTGCTGTCATAGGACGCAGACAGCGTCACGTCCTCCGCAACGTGGAGGGAGCGGACGAGGTCGGTGTGGCCCCGGTTGTTGCATCGGAGACAGCCGTGCGCATTCGGCGGCGTCATAGGGAGCGCGCACGCGCAGCGCGCCCAGTACTCTGGGCCAGGCTCGAAGATGACCCGCCGGCCCTCTTCGTCCGGGCCCACGAAGCCTTCGACGCCCTCCATGTGCTCGCCCTCGGCGCTGTTGCCCTCGCCGCTCTCTCCGGCCGCATCGTCTCCTCCCGAGCCATCAGGAGCATGGAAGCTGCCCGAGCCTCCCGCCTGGTCGTTGGCTCCGCTGGGCCCGCTGGGCCCCAAGCGGTGGCTCAGATTCGCCAGGACCGCCGGGTGCGAGTACGTCGCGGCCGGGTTCGCGCTAGTGGAGAAGAAGGACGGATGGACCCCCGGGGGAAAGTTGGACGGGTCGGCCATCATGTCCTCAAAGCTCACTTCCTCCTCGTAGCTCGCCGGCACCTCGACGAGGAAGAAGGTCTTGATCGTAGAGTCCGACGACCCAGTCACGAGCGTGCCCTTCAGCGTGCTCCCCTTTATGGTCTGTTTCCATCCCGCGGCGAGTTCCGAGCCGCCGCCGCTGCCCGCCGGCTCGAACCCGATGGAACTGATGCCGCGGCTGTGCGCCTCGCAGCTCGCCACGAGCCGGCCCGTCTTGATGTCCCACGCCTTGATGCTCTTGTCGCCAGAGGCAGATACGATGAGCTCGTCGGTGAGCGAGACCGCGTTGATGGCGCCGCGGTGCGCGCCCTCCACCTCTGGCCCTATTGTCAACAGACAGCTCAGGTCCGAGAGCGAGAACAGCTTGATGCTCCTGTCCTTGGAGCACGAGACGAGATACTTGGCGTTGCCGCGCATGAAGAAGATGCTATCGCTGTGCGCCTGGACGATCTTCTCCGGCGACCCGTCGCCCTCCAGGTCCCATGAGACTATGCGGCCGTCACTTCCTGCCGAGATCGCCATGAGTTTCGGCCCGTTCGGCCCCGGGAGCTCCGTCACGAAGTGCGTCAGGATCGAGCGCGTGTGCCCCCCAGAGAAGATCTTGACGACCCGAGGACGCGTGCCCAGCGCCCATAGGCGGAGGGTACAGTCTCGAGAGCCGGAGAGGAGCCAGTCGCGTCCCGCGACTATTTGACCCGATGGCGCTGGGGAGCCAGGGCCCGGCCACGACGTCGACATGCGTGCCGGCGATGGCCACGCGGCCGACAGTCCGGAGACGAGATCCTCTGCGCCTGTCGACAGGGGGATGCGCATGGAATGCCGGAACAGGTGCAGCGAGTAGATGCTCTCGGCATGGCCCGGCAGTCCGCCCAGAGCCGTGGAGCTGCCACTAGTCAGGATCTGCACGTCGGGCTCCCACAGCGACGGCGTTCTCCTAGACGCCGCCTCGAGGTCGGCGGGCCGCGTGTCTGTCATTCGGCGCGAGAGGATCCGGCGCACGAGATACAGATGCTTGTAGTTTGCCTTTGGAAATGCGGTGGGTAGAACGAGGTGCGAGCGGACGGGCGGCTCGGGACCCGAGGTCGCGACAAACGGATCGGTCGGGCCGGGGGCGGCGAGCGGTGATCGCTGGTACGAGGGGAGCACCCCCGAAGCACCCGATGGACGCTCCCAGACTGCTCGCCTGAGCGAGCGAGGAAGGGGCGAGCCCGCCGGCGTCGCACCCAGAACACCGCTATCGTCCTCTGAATCGTATTCGAATGACTCGTCTACAGGTCGCGAGGAGGAGCTTCCGCCAGCAAGCAGCGCGCGGTGCGCGGCTACGTCGTTCCAAGTTGTGTGAACTGGCTCGATTGGAGGGACATGGTCACGGCAGAGGGTATGCCAGAGTGCTGCGCGTTAGCTTCATCCTGAGTGATCAAGGTAGCTTACTCTGGTCGTCACAGTACTCGGCCCACGTCCTGGACACGAGGCGGCACGACAGCAGCTCGTCCGCATCGAGGTGCGACAGGATGCGCAGGCTGAGCTCCGGGGGCAGTAGCTGTTGTCAGCAGGAGCTAGTCCAAAGGGAAGGAAAACTCACTCCCACAATATCCTTCTGCATCATCTGGTTCAGCTGTGCGTGGATCGCCACGACCTCTGCACTGTTAGCTGCGACTGAGTGGCGGACTCACCAGGCCGTGGCAGGGACCACAGTAACGACGCGACGACATCTGCTGTCAGCTGCGAACGTAAGAATGAGCTTACCACGCCGGTCATGCACGTTTAGCGAGAGCACCGCAGCGCGGACGTCGTCCAGCGACATCGGCATGGCACTGAAGGTATGGGGTGGGTGATGCTAGGAACCCTCGGCGCTCGATCTTCGTGCCTTCGTCATAGGCAGCGAGTTGTGTCACGTGCCCCAACGGCCAAGATCGTTATCTCAAATTACGTAAAGCGGAGTGCCTCGGTGCGCACGGGCGCTAACCCCGAGACGCCGCTCGCACCGTTATGCAGCTCTTCGCGCCTGCCGTTGTTGTCTGCGTAACGTCCCTCTTGATACCTCTTTGTGCTGCATCCGGTTCGAACGGAGCACACGACAGCGACACGCGCAACGCAAGTGGTACGTATCTCCCCTCACTTCACCATTCCCTGTTCCTTCCCCGCGCAAAAGATTATTACCAAGAATCGCTACTCGAGACAGCCTTCGGGTTAAAGACGACTAAAATTATCTATAGTGAGTATAGAGCAGCTGAGTCCATCTTGCACGTAGCTAACAGGCAGCCCAAATTTATGATGCGCAATCCCCTCTCTTCGATTTCCATGAAGCTGGATGGGCAAATGCTGACTTGTGAAGTCGCGCAACCCACTACCCGTCGGAAGGTGAGTCGTCAACATCCCCCACCCATATCCATGATTAGATATCTAAACATTAAGACAAGCATATGTAGGATTCTCTCCGGAGGAACTGACTACATCCCAATGTGTATGATCCCTCCTTTCCGCTTCCAGCTTCTGAGGGAGCTTTGAGCTGACAGACAGGTAGTCTCTCCTGATCGAATGGTCTCATTCCGATAGCCTGCTCGAACCATCCGACGTAAGTGTCCCCATCCATCTTCTTGCGAAAGGATTATCCACTGTGAACAATATCTGCACGTCTAGAGTGACGACAAAACCCATCAACGCTTAAATTTCTTATGATCGCAACTATGCACCTTCAGCTTTTTGAATGACAGCTGACAGACAGATGCAGGCCGGTTCTCGTTTTGGGCCTGGCGCCGGCAACCGTATGAGGGAGCCGCGGCCGCCAGCTGTCCAGGCTGAGCTTGATCGCCTCCCCTCCATGGACCAGCCTGCCTGGTACGATCCCCCGTCACCCGCGTCTTCGTCCTCGTCCATGGCCTACGATGAGGTCTACAGCGATCACGTCACGAACTCAGGCAACAAGCTCGACCTGAACTCGCGCTGGCTCCGCAAGGGCAAAATGTGTGCCTGGGGTCCCTCGTTCGACGATACCATGCGCATCGGCCGATCGCGCAAGCGTCTGCAGATGTGCCTCGACCAGCTCCTCCCCAATTCTGCGGCCGAGATTGGTGTCGAGCCTCCGCAGAACATCATCGATGTTGAGGAGCGCCGCCAGGAAAGTAAGAAGCGGAAGACCGAGGAGAAGGAGTACCTGCTCCCGCACCTCACTAGCCCCTCGCCTCCGATGTCGACCGTCGACCTCGCGCCGATGCTCGCCCTCCCTCGCAGCTACGTTGACATCGTGACGAATCCGGCGATGCGACACTCGCTCGGTGACGACTCGATGGAGCGCGGACTGCAGAAGACTGCTGCCGACTTGCTGGACGGCGAGAAGGGTCTGATGCAGGCGGTCGGACGCCTCAGGGAAGTCCTGCGTTTGCGCGAACGCGATGCCCCCGAGGGCCTCTTCCTTGATGTTCACAAGATCAAAGAGAAGCAGGAGAAGGAGAGACAGGCTGCCAAGCCGGTCGCGAACGGCACTGCTACTGCCAATGGCCAGCCGAACGGCGAGTCGAATGCTCCCAACGGTCACTCGGCCGAAGGCGGTGAGAACGCGGAGGGTGCTGCGAACGACGAGCCGAAGTACCTGACGCCGTCGGACCCCAACTTCGTCCCGCCCCTCCCCCGTGTGTCAGACACCGACAACCTGTGGCGCGTTACTCAGGAGCTCCTGCAGGCGCAGCCTTCACCCACTCTTACCTACACCATCACCCCCGAGGGCGCCGCTGGGCAGTCGAACGAGGTTCCTCCCAAGCTCACTCCCGTGCAGCGCCTCTTCACCTCGCCCACTGGCATCACCCTCAACGCCATCCCCCATCCCAACAACCCGGGCTACCACTCGTTCAACCCGGGTCACCCTTTGTACCCGTCGCACATCAAGTACAACATTGATGTTGCAAACCAGCAGAGCGCCGTTGATGACGCCCTCGAGCGCATCATGGAGCTGCTAGCGGACTGCAACGAGTACAAGGAGCGTCTGGAAGAGGCCCGCGAGCGTGTCTCAGACGTCGCGCGTGTGCGCAAGACGCTCTGGAAGGTCGTCAAGCGCCGTGCCGGCCGCGAGCTCGACCGCATGGAGGGCAAGGCCTAGTATATTAAGTTGTTAGCAACACCACCTATAGTTATAGTCAGCAGTTGTCATGTCATAACGCCGTTGTATTTGTGCGCTATTATCTGTTTGCATTCTAGATCTAAGCTACTCATCGCCCGCCGCTCTTCTTGATGAGCCGCTGCTTCTCAGCCTTGGGCATCTTGTTCTTGCGCTTCTCACGCATCTCCTCCTTCAGCGCCTTCTTGCGCTCCCGCTTGGCATCCTTGTCCTCGTGTCGGAAACCTCGCGGCTTCTTCTCGAACTCTTCCTCGGCAGGCTCCCCCTCTTCCTCCTCGTTCTCCTCATCCTCCCACCGGACGCTCTTCTTCTTGCTTGGGCTGTCAGCCGGCGCGTCACCCTCGGTGGGTTCAGTCGCCTCTCCAGCAGCTTCCGGCTGAGCCTCCGACTCCTCCGTGACCTGTGCTGTCTCCTGGGACTTGGCCGCGTTCAGGTCGAGTTTGGCAATGTCGGCGTAGATGAGCTGGTCGCCTCCTCCCTGCTTCAGGATGTCGATGTCGCGTTCCGGGTCGAGGACCTCTCCAAGCGTTCGCGGGATGTAACTGGAGAAGAAGACGTTGTCGTCGACCTGTTTCTCGGCCTTTGTCTTCTTCTTGGGTTTCGGCGGCTCAGATCCCTCGGCAGCAGCTGCGCTTCCCTCAGCGGCGTCTCCGTCCTTGGTCTCCGCAGTGGAAGCTTCCGGCTCCTCGGCGTCCGGCTCGTCCTCCTCGTCCAGCCAGTCCTTGAGAATGTCGAGCAGCTTCGCCTCGGCCTCGTCGAGGTGCTTCTCGTCTTTTTCCTCCGTGGGGGTGATGCCAGGAATCTCCTCCTGTGTGATAAAATTCCACGTCCGGCGAAGGCCGAGGGTGCGCACGGCTCCGTTCGCCTTCTTGTGGAAGAAGTCCTCAACGTTCTTGATGTCGAGACGCAGGAAATCGAACGCACTAGGGTGCTCGTGCTCGACACTCTGCGACACATCGATGATGTACAGGTGGTTGTTGTGGTAGAGAATGTTGTACTCGGACAAGTCGGCGTGCACGAGGTGACACGTCTGGTAAAGTCGCCGCATAGCGATCAGCAGCTCGCCGTATAGCCGTGAGAGCCTTGAGATGCTCGTGATCTCAGCGTCCTTGAGACGCGGCGAAGCCCTGTCGGTCAGTTTCGACGCCAACTCATATACTGAATCAGACTCACTCGTCGCCATTTCCAAGGTACTCCATTACGAGGACGTTCTCGCGCTGCTCAATGACGGTGGGGCATCGGACGCCGCCAGCCCTAAGTCGCTTCAGATTACGCAGCTCCTTCTCGGCCCAGAGTTTTACCATCTTGCGAGGATTCTTCGCCTTGGCGTAGCCGCCCTGCAGACGGAAGTCTCCGACGATGTAGTTTTGTCTCGAGCGGAAGTTCAGGATAGACGTGCGGTAGATCTTGACAGCAATGCGCTCGGGGTACGGCCTCGGCGTGTTCGCAGGCAGATCAAACTCGGACGCGTACGCGAGGTACACGTTCGCCTCCTTTCCGGTCGAGACACATCCGTTGATCTGTCCAAAGTAGCCCCTGTTCACGAGCGAGGAAAGCACGAGGCGCGTGCGCGCGTCGAGCACCTGCTCATGCGTGGCGCGGTCCGCCTTGTCCTTCTGGTTGGCACGTTCGGAGGCACTCTTCGGGTTCGCAGCGACACCGGCGAGAACAGCGGGGTCGACGACCGTCTTGCTCGCATTCAGCGCACTCTTGTTCGGCGTGCCCTGCATACGGCGCTTGGCGGCCGCTGCATTTCGCGCAGGTAGAGGCAGCTCTGCCTGCGTCGACGAGCTGGCGGCGTAAGACTGTCGCACACGGTTGTACTGTTTTGTGAAGTCGCCGTCGGCAAGTTCCCAGTCCTCGTCCTCGACGCCCCACTCCATGTGGTCGGACTCGTCGTCCGAGCCCACGAGACCGGACTTGTACTCGTCCTCGTCCCGGAAGCGGAAGTCTGAGCCAGCATCAGACTCCTCGGTCACGCTTGACCCATCGTCGCTCAGCGCCTCCGCCGCCTCGACTTCGGCGACAGGGTCCGCCTCCTCGGGAGCGACCTCGTCGATGTAGCCCTTGCCGTCGCGCGCGGTCTCGGGCGCTTCCGTCGAAGCCGGCGCAGAGGTGGAATCAGTCGTCTCTGTCGTTCTCGTCTGTATCGGCTCGCTCATGATGTTTGTTGCAATGCGAAGAACTTCTCCGCGCCTGTCCGCGATTGTGTAAGCGGATCCGGGTCGTCAGAGCGTAATCTTTGAACATTTTGATCGGGGCTCCATTGAAGGTGGCAACTGGTCACGTGAGGGGAACTTCATTTCACTTTCTACTTAATCACTTTTCACTCGCTGCGGTAGCTGATTAACCCTTGCTATATACTTCGGACAGAGAAGGACGATGAAGACGTAATGTTCCTCCATCACTCTTAGATGGGCAAAAGACGGTGTGCGTACGCCCAAGATGTTTGACGATCTTATGACGCCTACTGGTTGATGAGCTCGGCGATCTTGACGAGAGTACGGACGGAGAACGCCGTGCCCTCAGTGGGCTGGTATCGACGACCTCATGACGCCTACTGGTTGATGAGCTCGGCGATCTTGACGAGAGTACGGAGGGAGAACGCCGTGCCCTCAGTGGGCTGGTATCGACGACCTCATGACGCCTACTGGTTGATGAGCTCGGCGATCTTGACGAGAGTACGGAGGGAGAACGCCGTGCCCTCAGTGGGCTGGTATCCGTAAGCGGAGCCGGCGTTAAACGCAGGGCCGGCGATGTCGAGATGTGCCCACTTGTCCTTGGCGCCCTCGCCGACGAATTCCTTGAGGAAGATGCCGCCGATGAGCATACCACCGGGGCCGGAGCCGACGTTCTTGATGTCGGCGGTGTACGAGTCGAGGTCGGCGCGGAGCTCTTCGGGGAAGGGCATGGCCCAGAACGGCTCGCCAGTGTGGTCCTTGGCAGCGATGACGCGGTCGATGGCACCCTGGTCGCCCATAAGACCGGCAGTACGCTCACCAAGGGCAGTGACCTGGGCACCGGTAAGTGTGGCGACATCGATGAGAATATCCGGGTTTTCGGTGGAGGCAATGCCCAGACCGTCAGCCATGACGAGACGGCCCTCGGCATCCGTGCTCAACACCTCGATCGACTTGTTGTTGTACGCGGTGAAGACGTCACCGTTGCGGTATCCCTCGCCGTCGACCAGGTTCTCGGCCAGGCACAACCAGGCGGTGACGCGGGTGTTCAGCTTGAGCTCGGCGGCAGCGAGCGCGGCGTGCATCACGATTGCAGCACCAGACATGTCGCCCTTCATCTCCCACATGCCACTCGTGGGCTTGATCGACAGGCCTGTTCGTCAGCATGGCACATGAGACAGAGAGAGAGAGATGCAATGCGTACCTCCAGAGTCGAAGGTGATGCCCTTGCCAACGAGCGACACATGCTTGGAGGCACCCTGAGGGTTGTATGAGACCTTGACGAGGCGAGGTTTACGGGCCGAGGCAGACCCGACGGCGAGGATGGCGTTCATGCCGTCCTCACAGAGGCGGTCCTCGTCCCAGATCTCCACGGACGCGCCGACAGCATTGGCAGCGTCCTGGGCCATCTGCGCAAAGTTCTCGGGGTAGAGGTCGTTGGGAGGGGTGTTGACGAGGTCTCGAGCCTTGTTGACGTGCTTGGTGAGGGTCGAAGCGCGGTCAACGACGCCGCTGTCGCCGCCGCTGACGACGACGATCTCCTGGACGGGTACGGTCTTCTTAGACTTGTACTTGCTCCAGGAGTAAGAGCCCATCACGGCTCCCTCTGCGACGGCGTGCAAGACGTCATTGCCGTCGGTGGGGAACAGGACGGCTACCTTCTCGGCAGACCCAGTGGCGGCACGCAGACCGACGCCGGCAGCACGACGCAGCTGCTCGGGACCAACCTCCTTGCCGACCCCGGTGATGAGAAGGGTCTTGGCGGGGTCGCCATCGGCACCGATAATGCGGACGGTCGAACCAGCGGCGCCAGAGAAGCCGAGGTTCTTGAAGGCGTCCTGGATCTGTTGAGCACGGCCGCCATCGAGAGCGTCGCCGAGGATGGTGGGTGTACCCTCAGCATTGGACTGGGCAGCGATGATGGCGATGTCGGCACCAGTGTTCTTGTCGCTGCTCACAGAAACGGAAGGGTGATGGCCACTGCCGTCGTAGCCCCAGTTCTCGCGGGCAAAGAGCCCGGTGGGCTCGAGAGAGCGCCCGTGCCGGAGGTACGGGTCGCCCGCTGGAGCAAAGGCGGCGGAGGTACCGAGGAAGGTGAGGAGGAGGAAGGCAACGCGCATTGGTGAAAGTTGCGGGAGTCTTGAAGGTTGGTCTTCCAGCTCTCAGCTCGAGCTCCCTTTTATAGCTTTCCGGCTCTCGAAGACGTCTGCGTCAAGAGGCTCTGGACCCGAGTGCGGATCGTTCTCGGCGTCTGGGACTGAGACTGTCCAGTGACCGACTAGACCTCCTGCATCTCTTCTCGAAAGGCTGCGAACCGCTCGCTTCGGATGCCTGGATGAGCCATATCCGCTGAAACTGCACACTAGTTGCCGTCGCCAAGGTGGCCAAGAGCGGGCGCCGACTGATGGGAGCCGGTACGCGCCCGCGAGCTCAGTGGCAGGATGCGAGAAAGCACAATCTCAAGAAGCGCATTCTCGCGAGCAATGCCCATGGGACGGAGGAACAGTGGAAGATTGCACGATCGAGTGAGCGGACCGGAAATATGCCAGTGTGGTAATAGCTTGGCATTGACGTGCACCATATGGGCTTCAAATGGCCACGTCCGATGCTTCCCTGCGTGCCCTGGCTGCGCTTGAGCTTGACCTAATCTTGTCTGACTTCTAGCGAGCGATGCGTCGATACTGGCCTCACATGCCAGTTGCTCGTGGTGTCAAATGCATGCAGCGAGTGTGCCAGCCCAGGATGTCCGAGGTGTCGGTGTTCAAGATGGCTGGTCGGTGTGGTTAAGTCTGCGTACGCTGGTTTGTGGGAGTGAGGAACGCCGATGCATGTGCGGAGGCAAGGTCCGAACATCCGAGCATCTGGGCACCCACGAAGCGTGCGATTACATGTGGTAGTGTTCAGCGGACGGCCAAGATGACCCCCATGGCGTGTCGGCGTGTTGGCCGGGCAGATGCCATGGCACTGCCAAGCATTCTCACGGCACAGCTCAGGCTAGGAAAAGTGTAGCTGCTTCTTGCTCCCACTGTGCACCTGGCGGACAGGCGCGGACGTGCCGCGGGCCTGGTCCACCTGCAAAGACGTATGAAGGTTATCAGCCATAGTGCTGCAACCGAAACTTTCTGCATGACCGAGAATGTGGAAAGTGTGATGACAAGCAAGAGCGGGAAGATATCTTTGCCCGCTCTATTGTTCTCGATAAGATAGCGTATTCAGAAGCCGATAACGGCCTATCTGGCTCCGCCGTGAATTCGCGACAGACGATTCAGTGCTTGGACGCTGCTTACATTTTTCGTACCTGTGCCCAGGCCATATGGATCGCAAGATCCGAGAACTGGGGACAGGTCCAAGCATACGGAGCATGAGGGTCATGCAGATGGCATGAATCAATTGAGGGTGCACCGTAGAGGCCTGAGACGACCTCACATGACCGATCCAACTGTGCTTCAGGCTCGCGAGTGTAGTGGGGTTTCGCCAAGCCGGTGTTCATCTCGGACCCCATCACGCCGTGACGAGTTACATCTGACGTTCCTTGTGCTCAGCTCTCGTCATGGTGCCAGCTCGGGCATGTCAGTACAGAACACTGCCGCTCCCCCCTCGCTGTGATCGATCTGAGGATTTACGAGCGAGAGAAGTGGGCTAGTCTGAGAATCGGGCACTTGCACCCTCATTGCATCCCCAGGGACCCGGTTCCTGCCTAACAAGTTCTGCCTGAAGATCACCTGGAGCTCCTTGGTGCTCCGCCAGGCCCCAGCTGCGGCTAGTTCCGACAATCCGGCAAGGGGGTCGATGAACGATGCACCGTCTGGGATCAACACCCGGCGATCTTGGCGCCATTGAGATTGCAGGGCTCAGCTTGAGTTTAATCACGCAGGCCTTGCTGCCAGACGTTGGATGATGCCATTGCTCCGGCAGGCTCCGAGTCAAAGTCGCTGAGCGTATGGGATGACTGACGCCTGCCGAACTTCCAGTTCGCCATCCAGAAGACACTGGCGAGCATGAGTTGCTTCACACTCCCACCGTTCGACCAGGGCATCAGGTCCGACCGGCGTTCCTCGTTACATATCAGCGCTGAACTCTGAACTCAAAGTCAATTCCTGTGTTCAAATTGCCGCACACTTTCGGCAACTTCTCTCGCGTTAAAGTCTTCTCCGAGCACCGACCAGCCATCTGCATTAGTTCACACATGATGACCAGGTGACTAGGCTGGCGATCTCTGCAAAACCTAAGTGCGATCCGCCGCTGGCCAGATCGCCACAGTCCTCACGGTTTGCTCAAGCAGCCGATCCTTCATCTATGGCTGGAGGCCGGGCCTATACAGCATACCTGAGCCCTCTACGGTCAGCCCATGGTGTCGCATCACAGCTTACCGAGAGTCACCCCCCTGCGATCCCCCAAGTCACTCATCCGCTGCACGATTCGAATAGGAACCTCCTCCCCGCGCTGGTGGCCCATGATCGATCACTTTACGATTTGTGGCCACCTAAAGTGCCCAAGCCAGTTGACACGAGGCAATCTGAGGATCTGCTCTGCGATTGTCACACTTAGTTGTCAGATGAACACACTTGCTCGTTTGCTATCGTCCCCCGTTCGTCGTTCTCGGAAATACAGTTAACTGAACAAGAAGGCCAGGCGAGTGAAAGTCTTCATGCTCCGTACTGACTCCTCCATGTCAGTTGTGTTAGTCGTTGACTTTCACTTGCGCCCTCCGACCCGAACCACAAGACCTGCACCACATTTCGTATGTGTCGCGCTGGCCGACCATCGCGTTCAGATCGCACAATGTTCGCATCACAGAGTAGCGAAGCTTTACCTCTAGAACGTCGATGGCAGCGATTGTAGATGCGACTTACGCCATTCCGTCGGCGGGTTTGACCGTGCACAAGCGTCGGACTTGTCAGTCACGTCAGTTTGAGGGGATTCGGCATGATGGCGTCTGCACCCTGCGCCCCTCTGGCATAACATTCCCTTCGCTTCAATCTCTCATCCTCTTCTTCACTATCTCAGTTTGACCTTTTCCCTCTCGACTCAGTGGTCGACTGCATGAAGATCCGTTGTGGAGGTGTCCTCGCGTGAGTAGGAAGAGTGACTTGTCCAGATCGTTCGCTGCAAGCTCGCTCTCCCCTCACTGATTGGTCCCCTCACCGCGATTATCGCCTTCCTCCTCCCTCAGGTAGGCGTGTCAGTAACCGCCGTCTCGCACGTCGATCCCGTCCTGCACTGCTTCGCCCTAACGCTGCTCGGCTGCTGCAAAGAATGGTGTAGAGTGGCCGAGTGCGCCGAGGCCGGCATCTGCATTATGAGCGCGACGATTGGCCACCTCAGACAGGACCTCAGGAAGTGTAAACATAACAGTGACGTCATAGCCAACAACCACCTGCTGTTGACTGCATTCCAGTCGTGCAACGAAGGGCCAAACATGGTGTCGCGTGTCGGACTGAGGGTGCCCCGCAACTAGTTTGGGAGACGTCTGGCTACGTCTTCCTGCCGAGCTCGTTGCATGGAGTATCATCGCGTGTCAAGCGGCATATAATCAGATGGACAGAACGGTGTGCCTGCGGACGGCCTGCTCTGCCTGACGTTCCAACTTCCCCAGCTTTCTGGCAAGCATGCGCGCAGTCTGGATCCCACTCTACCGGTGACCGCGCATGAGCCGCTCCCCGTCCCAGCATCCAGTCAGCTTCGTTCTGTTCACGATCGCAAGGACGGAGGCGGGCCTAGATCTCGGATGTCAAAGGGTTAGGCCTGCAATGAGCTGGCTCCAATTGGCCAATTCGGGTCTCGGTATGTTCCGTCTGTGGCCCGCCGTCCCAGCGTTCAGGTGACCGTTCATTGAGCATGACAAACGACGTCATAGACCTCTGCTGGCCTGCCTGCCTGGCCTGCCTGGCAGTGTCAACTGAGGAGTGGGAGGCAATGAGGCATGCACATCGCGGTAGGATGACGGCACGGGGGAAGGGGTATATAGGCAGACGGAACGGCTGGCTGGGCGGCAACTCCATCCACCACAACAACTAGCAGAAATGTCCACTATCCCCGACTGGTGCTTCTCCGTTTGCCGGAACCCGGCCACCGCCAGTGAGTAACTGCTGGGAGAGTGAGGCGACGCCACGAGTGGCTGCCTGAGCTCCTCTTCCAGCTCCACACACACGTCGACGACGTCGCTGACAACAAACAGTGGGCCTCCCGCTCGCCCTCGGCTTCCTCAGCGGCTACGGCTCCGCCGAGATGCGCAGCAAGCGCACTGGCCAGACGCTCAAGTCGCAGACGTCGTGCCCGACGCACCCTGCGATGACTTGGATCTGGAACGCCATGTACCCTCTCGCGGGTTACGCTGCCTACCTGACGGTGAAGGACTTTGACGCTGCCATCACCCCTCTCGAGACCAACAACGCCCTCGCGGCCTTCAAGCTCTACTGGGTCCAACTCGGCCTCAACCTCCTCTGGCCGCCGGTGTTCGTCGGCCAGGGCCAGAGCATGGTCGGCCTCGGCATCATGACCTGCCTCTTCGGCACGGTCGCCGCCATGACGGCCAAGATGAACAACCTGTTCACGCCCGTCAACACCACCTGGTTCCTCGCCCCCTACCTGGGCTTCCTCGGCTACAACCTGTACGAGAACTTTGTCGCCGTCAAGAACTCGCAGCACGCTTAAACCGCTCTCTTTGAGCTGAAAGCGTAGAGGTGATGGAGCAGAAGAACACATCAACAACCAGCAATCAGCCGTGCGGGGCGCCCGTGGCCCAACCGGCTTAAAGACCGTATTTAGCAAGCAGTAGTGCACTGAAACATATGCAACGCCGTCAATAGCACTTTCATCGCACCTTCCCTCGCAGTCGCGCGTCCCACATGGCATCTCACGAGGGCTCATGAAGGAATCAGGCTTCGCAGATGTTGCCCCGCGCCCATCCGCCCACCCCCGCTCTCAGCCATCTTTATATCCCCGCCGTTTCTGTTCCTGTCGCGTCTTGTCCAACAATGTTGTTTTGTTTATTGCCATGGTGATCACCGCTCGGCTTGTCCGCATTGAGAGGGGTGACAAACAGCGGAAAGCCCGGCGCGCCCGGAACCCTTGCAGCGCCTGAGGCAAGAGGCTGGCAGGCATGCAGGAGAGAGTAAGACCGAGCGGCGCCGTCGGCGCCTCGTAGCGCCTCATGATCTGCCTAGTTTGCGCTGAGTCCTGAGCGGCACTCATCGGGCGCTGCGCTGTGAGGGTACTGAGGGTTGGGGGTCCGGGATCGCTGGGTTTGGTAGCTTGTTCTGGCGTTAGGCGTCACTGGCGTATGCTGGTCCATTGAGCAGCGTGCTACGTGCAGCGTGCACACCAGGGGAGCGTGCTTCGTTTCGTTCGTTTTGTCGTTTCGGGCATGCATCTCGTGCCCCTGTCCAGTTATGCCAGGCAGTCTGGCGAGCGCACCCCTGACGCTTCCTCCAGCGTTTCCCTGCACGAGCGCCTCCTTGTGCCCTTGTCCTGGCACACTGGATCTCCTGGGCACGGCAGATCTGGATGACAAGCAAGCAACTGCCGCAGATATCCGCGATCCGATCGCCCTTGTTTACTACTCCTGCTTCCAATGTTTGTCTCGAGACGAAGGAGTTGGGTTGGACGGCGGACATGACGACGGGAGCGGCTGGTCGAAGTCGCACTACCACTTCTGCTGGAACCCTTGCGGCCCGGTGGTTGGGCTCTTAGGTCATGTCGGGTGCACAGACCGGCCGGACTTGGCTGGACCTCATTTAGCTGCTTTCGGCGGGTACTCTCCAATCCAAGGCGTGATGCATGTCACTGGTGCTGACTGGTGCGCAATTAGCACGTCTTGCGGACACTTGGAAGGCACTCTGTAACACTGGTGCGCTGCATGCGCTGACGGGCGTGCATTGCCATGCATGGTGAGATCGGTCTTGCGTCGGGAGATACGGCAGAGTCTACGCGGTTCCGGCGGCGACCCTGCCTAACGCCCCTTGTGCCTCGGCGCACACATCCAGGAAGTGCCATGCAACGCGACCGCCTCCTGGTCGGGGTCAGCATCGCCTCGTCCCCCTCGATCCTCCTGGTATCCTGTCTCTCGCATCTTCACTCTCGCTTCCGTCCTTGGTTTTGGCCAACAACAACATCTCAGCACACCACTCCACATTACCATCTTGTCACCCCCTCCGCTGGGCGGCAACGATCTGGCGCGGGCGCCCAACTCGACCTCAGTCACACGGCCGCAGCACACGACGTCCTTCCCCGTCAACCCAAACCGAACCAAGTCACGCCTGTTGTTATTGTAGCATACATCGAGCCCACCGACTAGCTCGTCTCCGTTTGTCAACACCGCCCATCAAATCGAGCTCGCACGACAACTCGCACGAGCAACACCCGACAAAGGAGCACGAGCCATGTCCGTCCCCCCGCGCCTGCCCGACAGGCCGGTGCCCATTGTGCGTTGACTATTTCCACGTTAACTGACATCAGCCTGGGTCGCCATCACGCCGTCTAACCCCTCATGACCGACGAGGGAGCACCGAGTCACGGCGTCCAAAGCCGCCGCTCGTGCACCCTATTGCCGGTCGCGCCTCACCGTCCGTGTTCTCCGGCCGTGAGGGCTCGATCATGTCTCGCCGCGGCGAGCTCAGCAGTCCTCCGCCAGCAGAGCTGGAACAGTTTGCGGCCGCCTGCCGCGCGTTCTACTTCTCCCTCACGCCGCCCGAGGGTGCCGCGGACGCCATCAGTCGTATCCTCGCGAACCTGCCGCCCGCCCACCGGGCGACCTACACTCGTCTGCAGAGCCAGCTCCGGTCGCAAGCCCACCTGCACCACCTGCGCGTGCGTATCAGCACGCTTCATGCTCTACTCTCAGCGACATCGCCAGGCGGCAGCCTCTCGCATGCCGCGCGCGCAGAGCCCGGAGGACCCAGAGCAAGGGCGGAGCGGTTCGAGCGCGCAGCGCACTTCGTGCGCACGTGGGGAGCAGCCAGCGGCGGTCTCGAGCCCTTCTTCCGTGGGCTGTGGAGCGTGATTCGCGTCCAGAGCAGGCCGAAGGGAGGCGCAGGCGACAAGCGAGTCGTGTGGGAGGTCGACGACGCCATCTTGCTCGAGTCCGGCGGACCAGAGTTCATGCACGAGGCGGTCACGACGCTGAAGGGCGTGCTCGGGTTTGAGGAGCGCGCGCTCGAGGCGCCCCCGAGCTTGAGGCGGCACAGCGGCGTCGGTCCGCCCTCGCCCTCGCCTACCTCTCCTCCGGCCGAAAACGAGGGCGAGCGTGACCGGTCCGGCTCCGACCCCTTCACGGACAAGAAGCGCCGCGCCCCTCCCCCGCCCGTCTCGCGGCGCGCGCGTCTGGGACGCCCCTGGACATGGACGGCGACGACGCGGCAGCGGAGGAAGCGGACCTTAACCGGCCGCGGTTCCGTCTGTGGGTGTTTCCCGCCTACATCTCCGACGAGGAGGCCGAGGACCTGCTCTCCCTCTTCCCCACCTTCAGGACACGGGGGAAGAAGGCCGACGCGCGCCTGCCCACGCCGACAGCGCCGAACGAGAAGTCGCTCGAGGAAGGACTCGGCGCCAACGAGCGCTGGCGGCAGACGCAGATCGAGGGCCAGACGCTCCTCACGCCTAGGGAGGAGTGTGAGGACGCCCTCGGCGTGCTGAGGAGTGGCACGGGACGTATGTGGGCCGGCGACGAGAAGAGGGACGAGGGGTGGAGGGGCGGGACGTGGTTCAGGTTCAAGCGGTGGTGGAGACGGTTATTCGGGCGTGGATAGGTTTCCGAGGCCGTCTAGGTCGAGGAGTTCGCCATATCCGCTAACACGATCCGCGTCCCCGAACCAGGCGCAGACCTTGCTCTCACCCCATCATTCTCTCGACTCCACCAAGCCCTCGAGTTTCCCCGGCCCACTCGCCTTGAGTCCACGCTCACTTCCCCGTCTTGAATGGCCCCAACCCGACAAAAGTCACCAACAAGTCACATGTGTACATATCAGATTCTGTTTCCCATCATCCCATCCTATTCCATCCCATCATCTCACCCGCACCACGCTCACCACCTCGAGCTCATCCCATCCCATCCGTCTCGTCCCGTCCCGTCCGTTCCACAGTTGTCCAACACAGAAAAGAAGTCCAAGTCAAGTCCAAGTCCACAAGAGATCCCAGTCACACGGCGCGCGCCACACATAGCCAGCCACAAGGAACCAGCCAAGTTTGTAGATTCTTCCTAGATATAAAAGACAATGGCATTGTATGCGAGATACCTAAAAGCAGTGAAACTACGACGTCTTGGGCTTCTTCCCGCTCGGCTCGTCCTCGGCGGGCTCGGACTCACGCTTCTTCCGGCTAGACGGGGAAGACTCTGCGGCAGAGGGTGCAGCGGCATTGGCGCTCGCTGCGACGGCAGCCTTGCGCGCCTCGTTCGTCTTGTTCATGAAGGCGCGGAAGTCGGCCTGGCCCTGGTTCGTCCTCGGCTTCTCGGCCTCGACGGGCGCCACAGCCTTGGGCACGTGGTACGCCTTGGGCAGCGCCTTGGCCGTCTTGCGGATACGCGGCTGGAAGCCGAGGCTGCTCTGCGGCGCCGCGCTGCCCGCCGTGCCGGCGACGGCGGGGTTGCGCGACGTCTCGGGGTTCTTGGCTGGCGGCGGGGGGCGCTGCAGGACGAACTCGCCCGCGGCCTTGGCCGTCTCGAGCTCGACGTGCGCCTCGTGTCGGCGGGCGAAGAGCTCCACTCGCACGACCGGCAATGTCTTCGCCAGCTCTTGCTGCAGCAGCGCCTCCTGCGTGCCCTCCGGCACGCCCTGGAGCACGAGTAATCGGCTGTGGCGCTCCTCGCGTGCCCGCCCGTCAGCCGCCGCGTTCCCTGTCCGTCGCCGGTTCCTGTTGTCAGTTGCGCCTAATGCGGAAAGCTTACGCATTAGCCTTCTTGCTCGCAAAGTGTGGGTCGCTGAGCTCGACCTTGAGCCCGTGACCGTGGTACGGCGTGCCGTTCAGCTCAAGCGCCGCCTTTGCTTCGGCCTGACGTCAGCTCCGTTCCGTTTCATTCGCCGCTCACCTCTTTTGCCATCTCCACGAACGCAAAGCCCTTGCACTCGCGCTTCTCCCTGTCCCAGCCCAGCTTGACTGATCGGATCTGACCGTACTGGTGCGTCAGCTTGCGTCATCCTCATTAAATCTCGATCACAGGGATGATCGAAACTTACCTTGTTGAAGAGCTCTCGGACGTGCCCCTCCTTCGTCTTTGGGTTCAGACCCCCAACGAACAGCTTGGTGTTCGCCTCGTCGCTCCGCTTCTGCCGCGCCGCGGGGTCGGAGATTTTAACACTCATTGGGTACCCGTCGTCCGGCTTGAAGTGGTCGAGTACAAGTGCACTTTGCGCCGATGCCTTAAAAATTAGCTTGGAGCGTGACGAGCTCAGAGTTATTCGGTGCTCACAGGAGAGTCCATCGTGACGTAGCAGAAGCGCCGGCTGGAGGCGTACTTCAAACTGGGCCAGCGAGTCTGCAGAATCGTGCCGTACTGTCGTCGTCAGAAGTTATTCTTGGTTCACTTGTTTCAGATGGCTCACCTGAGAGAACAGCTTGCGGATGCCCTTGTCGTCGGTGTCCTTGCTGAAGTTGGTCACGAAGAGTGTCGAGCGCCAGAGCATGGCAACGCGAATTTCGCTGGAATCAAGCTTCTTGCGGTCCTTGTCAAGCGCGTCTGGGACAGCGTCCGCAGTCTGGAACTCGACTAGCGCTGAGTCTGTCTCCTCGCCCGGCACCATTGTACATTCCCGCACCAGCCCAGACTGCGCAATGATCAGCGCACATTCTGTCGGAGGCTTCCACTTACGTTGGCAAAGAACTTGGTGACCCGGTCCGCCTCCGTTCCTTTTCGCAGCCCTGTTACCAAAACTGTGGTGTGCTCTCGGTCCCTGCTGGTGTCAGCTGCCTGCCTCGCTTAAGGCTGTCACATGAAACCCACCTCTTCAGCTGCGGCTCCTCCTCATCCTTCTTTGGCTCTTGCGCGGGAGCTGCGGAGGCTTCCGGAGCGGTGACAGGGGCGGCCTCGACCTCCGCCATTGTCACGTCCGCCGTGCCTTCGGCTGCTGGTTCACCATCTGGCGCTGCCACAGGGGCAGCTGCAGACTCCGCCGCTGCTGCGGCTGCAGCCGCCTGCTGCTGGTACTGCTGCTCCACCTGCGCCTGTGCCTCAGCCGCCTTCTGTCGTCTGCGGTTAAGCTTTTGTTGCTCGTGCCCGATAGCCTTCTTCGCCTCACGCAGCGTCTCCAGCGACCCGTGAGTGTTCTCAAACAGGGTGAAAGCGTCGTACACGGCTTCCGGCCAGTCGAGGTCTTTCCGTCCGATCGCCTGAGTGTAAAGCTTGCGCGCCGCGTCGGTCTCGCCGATACGCGCCTGCGCGTCCGCGCACATGATGGTGTACTGATACGACAATGTCCGGGAGTGGATCGGCTTCTCAATCACCATCATGACACCGGGCAGCAGCTCCGCGCCGATTGCCTCGGCCCACGCCACGAAGAACTTCTCCAGTTTCAGGCTCGGGTCTCCGGAGGGGTACGCTGTAGTCATGAGTTCGATCGCCTCAGACGTCTTCGCAAAGACTGGGTGGTCCACTGAGAGTTAGCGTCAGGGTTTGTTCCGGGTAACTCACGGTTGACCTCGAGGTCCCTGTAGCGGCGATGAAGAATAGCGAGATGGTTGTACTGCACCTCCACGAGCGCAGAGACGGGTGCAGAGTTGGCGATGATGATGTCCTGGGCCTTCTCCACCGCTTGCTCAATGCGCGTGATTTCCCGTGCCTCCTCGAGGTTCAGGATGTATCGCGCCCACAAGCCGCCGTCTGTGGGACAGGCTCTCGTCGAACGACCGGCGACCTCGCGGACAAGCTCCTCATTCTCGTCCTCATCTACGTCGGCTGGTGGGTTTGCCGCCACCCAGTCGACGTATCGGGCCCAAACGGTGGCCTCGGCCGACCTGTACGCCTCGGCGGCCTGCTTCATCTGCTCCGCAACATCCTCCGCCCACGATGCGTCCTCGGAGGCATTTGCAGCATTCGAGTACAGCAGCACCGTTCGCTCGAACACAGCAGACGTCAGCTCGTGATCCTGCTGCGGACCCTTCTTCCCCTTCGGCTTCCTCGTAGCAAGCGGGTCGGTCTCCCAGTCGATGTACGACAGGAGGATAGCCGCTTGCTGTCCGATGTCGGTCGCATACGCCTGAAGGTCAGCTGGTTCTAAGCGCGTCAAAGCTCACCAGCTCCTCCTCGAAGTCTACTCGCGACTTGCCATGCCGCCGTTCCTGGGACCACTTAATCTTGGCCGGCTGCGATACGCTCGTGACCTGCGTGAGGCGCTGCTCATACTCGTCCGGGCAATGCTGCGTGCAGAAGGAAGAGTAGGCGCTGGACGTTTCATCGATGGCTGCTGTTAGCTCTGCTGGGGAGTGGCAGCTCACTAGAATGCGGAACGCGAAGACGCTCGAGGTACACATGGTGAACACGCTCCATCTGCTCAGCTCTGAAGGTTAGTCGAGATCCACCGGTTTTAACCCACTTGTCTGCGGCGGGCGCCTGCTCGAGCAGCGCGAGCTCCCAATCGATCCACGGCTGCCACACGCGCTGGCTGTCACTGAGTAGCCCGTTCGTGCGCTTCGTCAGTCCGCGCAGCGTCTCGCGCACAGTCTCGGGAGAGAGGAACTCGTTCAGCTCGTCATCCTTGCTAACGTCTTCCTCAGAGGGAAGACCAGCAAGAGCGGTGATAAAGCGAACGTGCCGCTCGAGGATCTGCACTGCTGCAACCGGTTAGCAAGACCCTGGAAAAAAAACCTACAGCTATACTCTGTTTCGGCCTTTGCGAACATGTCGATGATGTCGGCAAAGGAGTCGAGCGTGAACGGCCGCGGGGAAGACGCTATGCGCGCGTTGATGAGCTTGAGCCAGAGGGCTGGGTGCGGTTAGCTTGGTTATCGAAACTCGACCTACCCTCTCCCACAAAAGCCTTCGCATGCAGCGCCTCGGCGGCGTCAACGGCTTCATCGACCATGTCGAGCTGCAACATGAGCTCGACCTGGCGTCGGAGAAGGCGGAGGTTGGACGGCTGCTCCGCGACCTGCTCCAGCAGCTCGCCGAGCTCGGCCACGAGCTCATCCTGATTGGCGGGCAGAGCTTCTATCGTTTTGTCGACGTCCATCTCTGCTCTTCGTGTAAGGTCGAGCGGGGAAGACGAGCGAGATGGTTTTGTTGTCGTGAGTGACCGCGACCGACATTGCGTCAGTTCGAGTGAGCAGCCTGTTGTTGCTTCACGTGGTTGAGGTCACGTGCAATTTCACGTGACTGCTTATTGAGATTGCACGTGACTCCCCTTGAAGGTGATGCTAGGCGACCAGCAGCCAGCATGACACCATCACGCCCAGGTGTCTGCAACCCTCCATAATTGCAGCGACGTACGCATATTGTTCCTGTTGCAGCTGATTGCTGGAGTGTACCTAGCAGAACAAGCGCTCCGCACTCGAGGATCAAGTCTGCATTCCTCGAGGATCCACCACGGCACAGCCTTGGCATCTGGTCCCGTGATCATCGAGAAGGTAGAAGGTAGAAGGTTGGGGTCAAAGTGGATCCTCGTGGAGTAGCAGGCACGTCGGCGAGCTTCCACTCCGCTGTAACTGGCAATACCGGCTGTTGTACATGCGCCTCCGACGCTTCTTTGTCCGTGATCGCCGGTGCCGGTTACTGCGGCGCTCGGGCGGGCAGGCGGACAAAGAAGTCGTGTGAACGGGGCGGGCCTGATGATGCCATGGTGATCACCGTGGCATGTTGCGGGCAGGGCCAGCAGGGCCAGCAAGGGCGCGAGGAACGATGAAGGGGCGAAATGCATGATCGCCCCGTGTTGGCGGAGTTACTTGCGCTTCTTCTGCTTCGCTGCGTGACACCGCGCCGCGGCGCACGGACCGGCGTACGCTCGGTCCTTTGTGATCTTCGGCTGACGATCTTTGATCGAGGGAGATGATGTATGATGATGGCATCATGAATGCGCGCATGACTGGCTTGCCCGGCATGGGGAATTTCGAGAAATGGCCGAGTAGGGATTCGGATATTGAGCTGCGCTACGCGAGCGGAGAAGAATACACAGACCCCTATGAGAAGTAGGCGACATGGCGATACGTGCCCGCCATGCCCGACGTGCCAGGCGCCAGGTCCAGCGAGTCTGGAATCCGTGCAGATCGCGATGTGCACGTCGGCCCGTGACTCCACTGCGCCGCAGTTGATCGCCGTGGGCAACTGTCCATTGTGACGTGTTCTGCTGATCAGGAACCTGCCATGTAAATCGCCATCGAGGGATAAACGGGGCAAGGCAGTTGATCGCCGTCCGCAGAAGAGCTAGCTGTTCGGCGTTCCCCATCCAGGTCCGCTGGTCAGGCCAGGTCCCCGAGGTCCATGATGCCCCTCGTATGCTCAACGAAAGAGCAAGTCACCCGTAACGTAACAAGTGACGCTTGCATTGTGCTATGCCGTATTGTCTTGTGCACACTTGAGCCGTCTCAGTCTCAGGCGACCGCTGAGCAGTCAGCTTGGAACATGACAGCCGCGGCTGCGCTTGTCGACTGTCTCACTTGTGGCGCCGAGCCAATGTCCAAACGTGGCTCAAAGCCATGCATCAGGTAAAGATTGAGAGGTCGCTCGGCACTCCGCTACATGTGGCATGCAGCGGCGTTACGGGCTCCTACCTCGGGTTCGGAGCAGCGTGGAGCTCTCCGAAACGGCAAGGACGAGGTTTAGAATGCTAGGGGAACCCCGATGTGCCGGCGCGATTATGTCAGAAGACCGAGGTCCGGCGGATTGTAACTGCCAGCAGCTAGCTTTGGGCGGTTCGAATCACAAACAACGCTAGGTGGAGTGTGAGTAGCGATTAGCAGGTCTAAAGTAGGGCTACCACTGCTGTATTCCAACCGCAGTGCATTTCAAGCAGCAGCTGCATGGATGTTCACCGGTGTTCTGGCTGCTGGAGTCAGATCGGGTGAGACAATTGCGACGCCCGCGGGAAACCAACTGGCGGCCGCACCTGATAGCAGACGCACAGCATTTGGCAAGTCTGGCGCTTTCCCAAGAAACGGAAAGAGATACTGTCCTGCCTGAAACTGCCCCGGTCCAACGGCTGACGTTGATGAACCAGCCAACGTTTTCCGGGCTAGGCAAAACGGGGCATTGGCGTTCGGCTCAACGAAGAGAAGATAGCGAAGAGACCGAGGAGGGCGGAAGGTGTCTATTTGCAGCATTCTGTTACGAAGTGCGTGCCAACCGCCAACCGTTGAGAGAAAGGAGGCACGAAAGGCAGGCAGCAGAAGGTCGCTGGCATGAGAGGTCGGGGTCGGGTGCGAATCAATGAGGGAACATGAGGGCTAATGACGGAGGGTGCTCAGATGCTCTGCCTGGAGGCTTAGCTCTGGCGGGTCAGGGTTTCATGCCAGCTGGTACGCTAGCTGGTACAGAGATTGCTTGAAGAGTACGTAAACCCGTCGGAAAGCTGTCTGGGCATGCTGGGCAGCCTCACCCAGGGCAGCAACCAAGTTTCGTGCTTGACGACTAGTTACCAGCTCTGCTGTTCTGCCTGCCGCAGTCTGCGATCTGGACCCGTGGACCCGCGACCCGAAACAAGACCACTGCACATTCGGTCGCGGGTCGCACCTCGATCCCACTCCTTCCCACTCTCTTCCATCATGTCAAGTCTCCACTTTCGCCCCTCCAGCGCCGAGATGGCTGGGATGCGCATCGCAGGTGACCTTCCATGGCCATGACAAGGCTCTCGCGCATTCCGCTCCCGGGTGGGTGGGTTTGTCACTGGTGCTACCCACACGGAGCAGGTGGCCTGAGCACGAATCCTCCCACCAACCTATGACGAAATGGGTTATGCAACGTCTACAATCAGCAAACTCTATATCGGGTTTCGCATCTATGACCATACTGGTCATGCGGACATATATCCGGAGAAAGCAAAGCCAAAAGCAGGAGATCTGGCTGCATGGGTGTGGCAAATGCCGGATACGGTGTTCGGCACGAGGAGTACGCAGCTCGCAGGCGGTGTCATGGCATGATCAGGTTGCCACCGCTCTGGATGGTAGGTTGTCAGGTGGGTCGTCAGTGGTGGAGTGGCGGGGAAGGTGCATGACGAGCATAGCGGAGGAGAATAACGACCCATAGATTTGGTGGAGGGTTCCTTGGGGTGCTTGGATCCTTGAGAAAGTCTCAATCCTGCAGGTTAGTGGGCCGGTGACGGCAGGAGGGAACGCCCGGAGAGCGGCCGGAGGCCGGAAGGTGGGGGGCGAGAAGCATGTCTCCGTTGATTAAGATGATCAGTGCGCCCTTGTACCTGGCTGTTCAAGACGAAATGGCCGCGTTCAGAGTTGTCTGCTGAGCTGGAGTACTGTCCACATCCAAATTTTTCTGATTGCGAGAGACCACTTCGGAGCAAAAACTTTCGTGTCGACCGAGTTCCAAGCCAAGGTTGCGCGCGCTTGTGATAGGGACAGCAGGGACGGCCATGACAGAGTACGTGAGGACAGGTGAGAGGGAAGTGGGATTAGGGAATCCAAGATCCGCCAGCGACGTGTATCGGTGGTGGGTATCGTTATTTCGTCGATCGCATCAAGGCCCGAGTTTGGACCCGGCATTACGACCGAGACGCCGGTCTGAGTTGGTGGCCGGTACCCTCTGGTATGCTGCCCTTTGCGTGAGCACATGTCGCCGGCATGCCAGCGGTGTCCTCGGTGTTCTGGGGGCGCGGAGCAAAACTAAGGAATGACAGTGCGCAGACTGTGCCATTTGAAGAATGCTTGTATGCGCCTGCGGTGACTTGTGATGGAGATCTGCGCAGGCCTGGGGGAGTGCGTGCTGCATGCAAGGGTGCTGGTGGTGCTGGGGTATGGTCCGTATGGGAGAAGGGCTCATTGCCAGGGCCTGTAGGGGATGGACAGGGGATGCAATCCGCTGCCGAGTGATGAGTCGGTTTAGGCGTTCCTAGTTCCTGGCTACATCACCACCACCGCAAGCAGCGTTGGCCGCACGGCGCGCACCGCTAGCGCACCGGAGCTGGGCGACGGGCTACGAGCTGGAGCAGAGTGATGGCCGGACCCTTGTTTCTGTTCCTCGCCCTTGGCCGTGCGGCTCAGTCTGCGCGCCGTTCCCCTTTGCGATCCTGCGACATCCTCTGCGCGAGCCTTCGCTCCTGGTCTATAGTCTACCTGCATCCTAAAAATCTCCCCCCGCCCTGCCCTCTAGCGCTGAGCCACCGGCCATGCCAGCCAGTCCCAACCTCGCTGACCTTGAGGGTACGGGCCCTAGATAGTGTGCTCGTAACAGATGGTTACCACGTCCAGCCCTGCAGGTCTTCAAGGTCCCCTCCCAACCTCGGCAGCAGAGGCGGCATCCCGGCCAAGCTTCGGCTGAGGCTGCGAGCGCTTGCTGCTATCGACTACCTGCTGGTTAAAAGAAACTTAAATCATCAGGCTCTGCATGCTAGTCGCACTTGCCCTTGCTATCTGTCTAGCTGCCGTTCATTCATCAGCCGCAGCATCAACCGGTATACCCTCCGCCTTCGCTGGCCAACTGGCTTAGGTCCTGTGGAAAAAGTCTGACATACATTTGCTGGCAGACAGGCGTCGTATCTATCACCAGGCAGCCCACCATTGCACCATCCACCTGATCCGTCTGGCCCACTGAGCCACCGGCGCCCAGCCCAAGCCGCCTGTCCTAGACAAGTCAGGTCCAGTGCGCGCATTCGAGTTTCAGTTTGCTCTGCACTGCCATCTCGCGCTCTCGATCCAACCCATCGATATCATCCCGCCCGCATCTCAAAGGTCCTGCGGCCTGCGACCTGCATCCGTGCACCCAACCCAACTCTATCCTCGCCCAATCCTTCTCTCCGCCTGTGACACCGATTCTTGACGCTCAGCCAACATAATACGCAGCGCGTCCATCGCATTCGTTGCACTCCGATCGTCCCCCTCTTCAACTTTGCGCCATCGTCAACGCCTGGACGCGAGCATCGATATCCAGTACCCAGCAGTCGCAACGTTTCCGTTCCGACTCCTCATAATTCCATCTCAGCGCGCACTGCAACTTCCTCAACCCTATTCACTCCCAAACCTTCCCTGCAGTCGTTCGGCTTCTCGACTCTCGAGACTGCTGTTACGTCGTGCATCCCACTTTTCTCAAACTGTAATTGCGCCCCCGGACCCCGACCCATCTCCATTCCGCTCGCGCTGCTCGTCCGGTCACTCATAAACGTCCGCACTCCGTCACATCACCCATTGATCATCCACCGTCTCGCGTGCTCACCGCAATCCACCGCTTATCAGACAACACTCCAGAGTACCGCCGCACTCCCCTTTGTCCGCGAACCGACGCCCAGCGATTACCGATTCGACCACGCCTAGCAATCTGGCAATCCCTTTCGGATCAGTGCATTGTCGCTCACATTCGCCGAGGTAGCCGTTTCTCAGGACAAAGACAAGCCGCCGCCGACTGCTCGCCCTTTAACCCTGCTGACTAGTCTATCTGACCCCACAACATTCTCCGTCGGCTAGCTCAGCCTTGGTCAGCGTCCAGGTCTGCTAGAGCACCCCTCTCGCCCAACCTGTCATCCTCCCCGTTCTTAACGAAAGGTTGTCAACATCTGCCATAAAGAAGCTTCGATACACCTCACAAGCCGATCTCCCACCCGACTGTTCGGTTCGGCGTGAGAGAGAATGGCTTCACCGCTGGGAGGACAAGGAGCTAGCAGCAGCCCTGTCTCACAGTCACCATCGGACACGACGCTGCGAAGAGCCAGCAAGGCTTCGATCCACTCGCACTCGAAGGGTCAATACGATGGAAGTGGAAGCGGTGGTGACAAGCCTATGACCACGAAACAGTCACGGCAACAACACAAGGAGGCACCACCTCCACATTTCGCTGTCGCGGCCAACCATGGCAGCCGGCATGGCGTACCAGTGGTTATGGATCCTGGAGCATGTGAGGAAGGAACGCATGGACCCGAGCGCGCTGACCCGTTCCCAGATCAGCACCAGATACATGTGCCGACCGTGATTTACCCCACTGGCGACTCGCGGCAACCCTACCTTGCGGCCAGCGAGAATCCGACGGCCGCCCGACGCGACGATCAGCCGCACCAACACCAGCGTCAACACCCCCATGCGCACCAACACCAGCAACACCACATGCATCCAGCGGCGGTCCATGGGTACACGTCGGCGGACCCGTCGCAGTACATGGCCCCACACGCCATTGCCACCACCATTCCACCCGATTCTGTTCGATACACTGAGCAAGCCCAGTACCCAGCAATGCGGCCCGCCATGTACCCTCCTCAGATTTATTACACCTCAGCCATGGGCGCCGAGTTCACGGTCGACCCGAACCAGACACCTGTGTACAGCACACCTGGAATGCCTGCTGCGCGGACATCGACGTTTCCCGGGCAGGCTACCTATCACGCCGCGCCAGCCACTGGGACAGTTCCCCCTCAAGCGGCCTGGCCGGGCTCCGCCATGGCCCAGCCGTTCTACGGCACATACCCTGCCATTGCAACGACTGCTCCTCAACACGCTGCTCCGCAACCGCCAATTCCCGAGGAGATTGCGCGACAGAACTCTGTTTTCGTTCCCCCAGGGACGGGATGGTCGCCGTCAACCGTCATGTCAACGCCGTACCAGTTCTACAATCCGTTCCAAACGTCCAGCCCTCAAATCGACAAGCACATCGACCCTCTCTCACCTTCGACGGACGCATGGTCACCAACCCTGACAGGTCCAGGCTCTAGCCAGCCAGGCGGCCCGATGCGGAGGGGAAGCGCTGTGCCACAACCTAGTTGGCCGCCCAGTGTTAGCGTTCCGAGTGTGCGGCCGCCTCAAAGCAGCGCTCCTGGCGACGAGGGACCGAAGTCACCTCCGCATGCTGGTGGCCCTGAGCGCGAACGCAAGGACTATCACCCGCAGCCCCCTGCTCGTCGCAGCGAGTGGGTGATGTGGGTAGGAAATGTGTACGTGATGACCCCCATTGGCTGAGCTTAACGCTGACGGACAGCCCTAGCAATGTTTCACATGAGGAGCTCTGGCGATTCTTTTCGAACACCGTTCCCCCGCCATCGTCTCCAAATGTCGAGCAGTGGCGCGGCCCGTCGTCCATCTTCCTGATTTCGCGGTCATCGTGCGCGTTCGTCAATTTCTCGTCTCAGGTCGACCTTGACCGAGCGGTGCCCTACTTCAATGGTCTGTCTCTGCGGCCATGGGACAGCGGGTGCCCTCGCATGGTGTGCAGGATCCGACACAAGGATGATGATCTTCGCTCCGGTGTCGGTGCGCAGCGAGGTGTGGGAATGCACCGAGCGTGGGTCGAGCAGCATAAGGCAGACAAGCATGAGAACCAGCCTCCGAGGCGTATGCCGACGATCGGAGTCTCGCCGAAGTCTACTATGCTCGAGCTCCCGCACCAAGAGGACAGCCAGCATGACAGCTCGTCGGCACATAAGAGCTCGGCGAGCTACGCTAGCACTAACTCGAGCTTCCTGGTGCACCACTTCCCGGAGAGATATTTTATCCTGAAGAGCTTATCAGCTGTGAGTAAGGTGCATAGGGAGTGTGCTGACATTGTCAGGCGGACCTGCAGGACAGCGTGAAGACAGGGCAGTGGAAGACCCAGCGCCACAACCAGCCTATCCTTGGTGAGTCTTGAGCGCATGGCGTTTACAAGCAATCATTTTTTCCCGCAGCAGCTGACATCCTCAGACCAAGCGTTCAGAACGTCTAAGGATGTCTACCTCATCTTCGGTGCGAACCGTACAGGTGAATTCTTTGGATACGCCAAAATGACTGGTGCGAGCCGGAAGCATAAGCCGGCCACTGAGCGTCCCACGCCTAATCGCGGATCCTACCAGAGTGCTAGAAGCTCAATGCTGGGTCTGTCTACGAGCCCTGGTCATCAGCCTGCTCCTATCCGGGAAGAGGAGGAGAAGGAGAGTGGATCTCCGACGCAGGAGCTTCTCTCACCCACGGCGCAACACCGAGCAGCCACATACCAGCCGCGATCGCAGACCGATCCTTTCCTGCTCGGTGGTCACCTCGCCCCGGGTTTGGACGAACGCCGTGCGACTTCGCCGGGCATGATTCCAGTGGAGGAAGAGCCGGAGCAAGCCGTTGAACAGGTCACCGTGGAGCACGTACACGCAGAGCAACAGGTTGGCCCGTTCATCGAGCAGCACGACGAATTCCACACGCAGCACATCATGCCCCGCTCCGAATCGCCCGACTTAATGGACGAGAGCATTCGCCGTATGAGCACGATGACGCTGGATCCAAACATTCTGCGGGGAGAGCGGGCCGACTCGCGCATTCGCCTTCTCAGCGTCGAGCACTCCAACTCGCTCCAGGTCTTCTCGCGCCGTGAGAACACTGCTGAGGGTCCTCGACCTGGCCGTCAAGCGACTCTCGCACCCCCCGGAGCTCCTACGAATAACGGCAGCAGCGGCTCCGAGGCGGGCGACAACTCGCTCGCCCAGCCGTTCCGCGTCCAGTGGATCAAGGTGGCCCCGCTGAGCTTCTCTCGCACCCGTCATCTTCGTAACCCCTGGAACGGCGACCGTGAGGTCAAGGTCTCACGTGATGGCACCGAAGTGGAACCTGGTGAGTAACCACTGAATTTGTTTCTACGGCGGTAACTAACAATTGCAGGAGTCGGTGCGGCGCTTCTTGCCGAGTGGGACAAGCTGGACCAGCCCGCGACGAAGGCCGAGGAAGGGAAGGAGGCCAAGGCTGATCCCGACCAAGACAAGGAGGTCAAGGGTGACGCCGTTGAAGAGGCGCCTGCCGTTTCCGCGACGGCCTCGACAGCCTCGGCGGCGGAGGGAGAGGGAGAGGAGAAGCAGGAGTAAGGACCTCAAGGTGCTTTCTCCATCGTGACCTGTGAGGCAGCATTCATTCACGTTTTCATGTGTTCAGAGGTTTGGGCAGTTGATACACCTGTTTCATTTTTCATCGGAGCCGTTACATGATCCTTTTATACACGATGTATGCATTTACATATTGCAAGCGCCAGGCGGATGATTAAGTGCCGCCCGTTGATGCATCGCGAGTTGTGGCGACGGAGTGCCGCCAAGCGACCGTCAACAATGCGCATTACAAGTGTAGCAGTTCTGGGCCTAGGATGGAAATGGGAAGTGCGGGGTCAAGTTGGGTTATTGATTCCTGATTGGGCAGGAGGGAGGGAGGGTCGGAACGGGCCTCGTGTTCTATGACGCGGTGGCCGCCCGCGAACGCCATGGACCGGTAAATAGGCCCCTACGTCGTCGGGGAAGGTCGATTCCGCTGTGTGGTTGCAGGGGCGTGAGTTGCAGGCATGCAGGCAGCGTGCCATGCGGGTGCAGGGGGATGGCCCGCGGCTGACGGCAGCGTAGAGCAGGTCCAGATCCCGACGTCACTCGTTCGCCCTAAGTCGCCCTCGCCTGTAATTAAGTCTGACCACTAGGCGTTGACCGGCCAGTCCGCCGCGCCGCCCCCCGCCGCCCGGAACACAGAGCATCAGTGCAGCCAGCCAGGTAGCCCAGGTATGCACTTATGCAGGCAGGAACAGCGGAACGCTGACCGGGCTTGTGGTGCATCCTATTTTGCCTGCGCGTGACTGGATCCGATGCTAATCGTCCGTATCAGCGATCAGGCCGTTCGTTCATCAGGGCGCATCCACCGTTTATCAACTCTCCACTACCTCACTGACCACTCCCACTCACCATCCAGATCCTCGATCCACGGATCGACACTGCGACACACATACACACTCGATGGCGCCCCAAGAACTCGTCGACAAACTCAAAGCCCTAGGTATCTCGGAGCGCTCCGCCCAATTTGCCCTTTCAGTGAGTCATCCCTCCCTCCTCCACCGGACACACCGGGCGACCGACGAGCACCACCGAGCCAAGCCAATGTGCACACAAGTCCGACACATCTGCCCACGCCGCCCACGCCCCAACCCCAAAATGCACAAAGGCAACGACAGGTCGCATTCAGCCAAGCGAAAATGCATTGCCCTGCTGGTCTCGCGAGCCCCTGTCTACTCGCACTCGAGACGCCCGCGCGCCCACGATGACTGTCGGAACGGATGGCACACGCCGGGCACACACGCCGACTCTGGACCTGCGGTCTGTGCGCGGTCCCCTGGCTCCTGTGCGGTTGCGCCTGAATGCCCAGCTGCCCAGCTGCCCAGCTGCCCAGCTGCCCAGCGCCAGCCAACTGTGGACGGCGAAGATCAGAAGTAGTCAACAGTGATCATCGTCGTGCTCCACCCGTTGCCCGCCATCGACTGCTCATCCACACGACACACATCAGCCTTCACTTCTTGCCCGTGCTCGCTCTTGTCTCAACCCCTTCATCCCGCACCCCGCAGTGCATGATCCGCGATGGCTGACCCAAACCAGAAATGCAACAACAATGTGGATCGCGCTGCTGATTATGGTGAGTCTGGACTCGAGGCGACGAGGCGGCTCGCGCGGCTTGGCCACCCAGAGCCTGGGCGGGCCATGGCCGTAGTGGACCAAAACAGCAGGGACGACATGCTTCTTTCGTCGATTGATTAAATCTTGCGAAAGGGAAGGGCACGCACGCGCGCAGCCCAGCGCTCTTGCCGGCCAATGCCTATTGTGCTGAGCTAGCAAACTGAGGCTGGCGAGCGTCGCAAACTTGCACTGCGCCGCTTATCGTCGGCATGTCTGTGGACGAACAGAACTCGTCACCCCCCTGCTGCTCTTGTGACAGTCATTCGCGTCTCACCTCCGCTTCTTTTGTTACGAGTACTGACGCTGTTCTCCCTCTACTCGATTTCCAACACCGCTCCATTCGCGCTACTTGTCCCCCTATCCACCTTGCGAACGCATCTCATCTCCATGTTCGATGGCGCCTCTCGATCGTACCTCGTCGCTACCTCTCTCCGTCTCTGGCTACCTGTCCCGTCTAACAGTCTTCTCCGGAAGGGCAGACCAGGATGAGGTGAGTACCCTCTGGCTGAAAGTTTGGCTTGCCGTTTCTGACACTGTCGCAGGTGAGCAACACGACTGAACTGAGGCGTCAAGTGTCCAACGAGGAGAGGAGGCGGAACACGACCGACGCTGCGCCTCCGCGTGCAAGCCGCCCATGGCGGCGGAGCAAGCGGCTCAGCATCAACAAGTACAAGCCGCAACTCTCCCCATCACGCGAGACGCCGAACGGCGATGATGCGCCGAAGAGACAGTCGCCACCCGCAAGCCCGCAATTTCAGATGCTGACACAGTCTTCCTCGAACGAAACCGAACCCGATTACGACAAACAGGCTTCCGATCTCATCAAGAACGCCTTAGCGCGAGCCAAGAATGGTGGCAAGGACAAGGAGCCCAAGTCATCGCGCGGAGCGCTTGCTGCGCTCGGTCTCCGTGCCGCCGGCATTGGAGCGCCGCAGCAGGCGGCCGTTGCGTCGTCGGCGCCCTCGTCTGCCGCGATCCTGCAGCCGTCCAAGCCGATCGCAACGCCCGACCCCGCCCCTTCCCCGCGCCTTCCCTCTGGTGCGAGCACCCCGGCGCAACCGTCTTCCCCCGCCCCGCCGCCTGCCACCCAGCTGCCTCAGACCCAGGCTCCTGCCCCGCAGGTTGCCTCGGCTCTGCCTCCCCACATTGCCTCTGCTCCGGGTTTGACCGCCCCGGCTCCCGCGCCCGTCCAGCCTGTGGCTCCTGCATGCCGCCGCCCCAGGCCCCTGTCGTGCAGGTCGCTCCCGCTCCCCAGATCACGAAGAGCAAGCCTCTCAAGACAAGCCTCTCAAGAGCCAGCCGATCCGCGGCGGCATCCCCGTCGAGGGGGACCCAGTGCGCTCTGCGCGCTCCCCGTCGCCGTTCTTCCGTGCGCGCAAATCGCGTGAGGACCGCCGCGCCCGTGAGCGTGACCCGAGTCCGGAAGTCCAGGCTCTGCGCAAGGACTCCGCGACGTCTGCCGCCGAGTCGGACACGGAGAGCGCGGCCGACGACCGTGGACGCCGCCTGGGCTCGCGCAAAGCGCAGTTCCGCCCACAGGCTTCTGCGTACGAGTCGCCTGACGAGAGTGGAAATGAGGCCGACTTTACGGACGACGGACCGAGTGACATGGACGACGACACGGACTTTGAGGGCGACACGGAGGAGGGTGCGCTGGACGACGATGTCGACTACTTTGACGAGGAGACGGAGCGGAACACGGAGGCGAATGCTATCTACGACGTTCCGGGTCTGCAAAGCGAAGACCGGGACCCGGACGAACCGCTGGACCCCAACGCCAACTTTGACGTGTACGGCGAGGAGATTGAGCAGGACGTGCTTGGCGAGGGACCGAACGTTGTCATTCCCCCCGAGCCCATGTTCCCGACGCGCAACCAGCCCAAGATTGTCAAGTCGCTCCGCAGCGGACTCGACGTCATCACGTCGCGGCCAACGTTTGCCCGTGACCGATGCACAATCAGCATCACGCAAGGCGACCCGGACGGTGCCCTTGAGCGCCTCGACAAGGGCATGCGGCGGTACGTCGTGCTGTCCGATCTGTCGGACGAGTCGCGGTACGCTGTCGAGTGGGCGATCGGCACGGTGGCACGTGACGGCGACGAGGTTTTCCTTATTAGTGTCATGGAGGACGAGCACAAGGTGGACCCGAAGGTGTGGCGCGACCAGTCAGCCAAGATGAAGGTGCAGAAGGAGCGCCAGACGCAGTGTCTCCTCCTCGTGCGCCAGGTCACGTCGCTCCTGCAGCGCACCCGCCTCAACATCACCGTGACGTGCCAGGCCCTCCACGCCAAGAACGCGCGCTACATGCTGCTCGACCTGATCGACTTCCTCGAACCTACCCTCGTCATTGTCGGTTCCCGCGGCCTGGGTCAGCTCAAGGGTATCCTGCTGGGCAGCACGTCGCACTACCTCGTGCAAAAGTCCAGTGTGCCCGTCATGGTCGCCCGCAGGCGCATGTACCGCCCCCCGCGCCGCACGAACCCGGAGAAGCTGAGGCACTCGCCCCGCGTCTCCCTCGCCAGCGCCAACATTGAGAAGACGGCGAGCACGAAGCAGGAGGACGACATTGCCGACGCGGCCGACGACGTGGAATCGGCCGTCGAGACGAAGTAGGCTTTGGACTTATAACCACATCTCAGTAGATCTACCGCAGCAGTTGTAATGCAGTGACCGGTTTCAACGCGGTCTGAAGAGCCCGCCGGGCTCGAGGGGCGGAGCACATGTGAGAGTGGAAGTTAGCGAGATCGTGTGCGAGTGAGCGAGGAGGCCAGAGGGCGACATGTGTGTGAGGAGTGTGCAAAACGGCGTCAGATCGTGTCAGCTGCGAGAGTGCAAGGGCGCAGAGGGGCGCAGAGGGGCGCGCCTCGACCGACGACAACACGACAAGGGGATGCAAATACCCCCCTTCCCAACTCCTCTTTCCTCTCTCTCTCACTCATCTTCAACAACTCACTCAACTTCAACAATCACGACTAGACTCCTCTATAACCAGAGGTAAGCTACCGTGGCCTTCGAAGAGCTAACGACGCAGACCTTCGTGACTGGCGGCGGTAGGTGGAGGACGGTCAGCTAAGTGCGAGATGACATATGAAGCTGACGACGCAGTAAGCTGCTGCTTCGTTCGCCAGAGCTTACAGCAGGGATCGTGAGCTGGTTGATCACCCACGAAGCTGACTGGGACAGCATGGCGGAGTAATTCGCGTACGCTTCAGGTCTCTCGTGCAAGCTGACTTTCAGGCGTGCGCTATACTTGTCTCGCCAAGCTGATTGTGACAGTATGATCGAGTGGTCGACTGGTACGCTGGCCAGGTCTCTTTCCCGCTGACTCGCAGGTGATCGTGAGCTGCTTCCCTCCGCAGAGCTTAGCTGACTGGGCCAGGGCTATGCTGACTACGGGTACGCTGGTAAGCTTCAAGCTCGACTGGAGGCTGACTTGCAGAGTGAGCTGAAGTTGAGCGGGCATAGCTGACAGGACAGGTGTGGCAAGGGGGGCAGGGGAGGTGAGTTGCTTGTCCCTGTGACAGACAACTGATTCGCAGGAGTTCGTGAGCTATACCACTCTTTGAAAGCTGATGGGACAGCACGACTGGGAGGGCTTGGACGTGGTAGGAGGAGGTAAGCTGCGCGTTTTTGTGCCAGCTAAACCTCAGCGGGATTCGTGAGCTCAACCACACCTCTGATAGCTGATCGGGACAGATGTGGCCGATGTGGCGGGGGATGGGTGAGCTACGTACCCGCGGACGAGCTAATGACAGAACGGGTGAGCTTGAACGCCCTTTCTGAAGCTAATATGTCCAGACTCACTGGGAAGAGCAGAGTGTCAGCTGTCTGTGGTGAGCTGAGCTGGTGTTTTGGGAGCTGACGAAGCAGTGAGCTAGAATCTGAAAGCCAGAGCTGTTCGCAGGGAATGTGAGCTTCATGGCTGCCCACAGCTGACAAGGACCGATGTCCAGTGCCAAGTGGGTGAGGGGAGGTAAGCTTTTTACGGTGCTGGTCAGCTGATACGCAGGATATCGTGAGCTTCCTCACTTCGAAAAGCTGACCAGGTTCAGCGTAGCTGAAGGGTTTGGCTCGGTATGCTCACCAGTTCTTCTGAAGCTGACTCTCAGGGGTGAGTTGTGGACGGTGCTTGTGCAACTGACTGTACAGGAGGGGATCAAGTCGTGAGGGGAGGTGAGCTGCCTGCCTCTGTGTATGACGACGGATTTGCCGGAGATCGTGAGCTGTGCCATTCCTTGAAAAGCTGATCGAAGCAGCATGACACATACTTGAGGTACAGTGCGTGGTCTGAGAGATAAGCTCTTGTCGTCCGTACACTATATCTGATTTGCAGGAGTCGTGAGCTCAATATCTCTTGACGACTCCGACAGATTGCAGGAATCAAGGCGGAAGGTGAGCTAGGCGATTCTCGTGGAAAGAGCTGTTAACAGGCAGGTGAGCTAAATCACCCACTCCCGAGCTGACAGGGCAGGCAGCGAGTACGGCAGTCATCAAAGCTAGACTGCGACGGGGACGCCATATGACAGCTGAGGCGCACGGGTCGTAAGCTTCAGACGTCTCCATAGCTGACCGCGCCAGACGACAGTACCTTGCGGGAGGTGAGCTAGCAGACCTTCGTTTTTACAGAGCTAATGCCAGGCAGGTGAACTGTCCCTCCTTTCGCCGAGATCCAGAGCTGACCGGTCCAGGATCCATGTGACGAGATCCTAGTGGCGGGTGTTAGACGTGTGGTGAGCTGGAAGCAGCTTCCGCACAGCTGACACCGCAGTGAGCTACCGTGACGATTGCTCTGAAGCTCACCGCAGGAGGTGTGAGCTGAGACATGTTGTGTGAAGCTGACCTGGTCAGTCATGACGGGCACCCACCAAGTGGTAGGGGACGGGCGAGCTGTGCTCATCAGCATGAATAGCTGACGACAGGGCATGCGGGCTTTACTGTTCCCGATACCATAGCTGAAAGGTCCAGGGTCATAAACGTAAGAAGTGGTGTCAATCGTCTCTGGTGAACTAGACTGGCGTCTCATGCAGCTAACGAGGCAGGGAGCTGTCATTTCCTATGCGGAAGCTAACCACATGACTCGTGAGCTGGGGTACCTCTTTTGCCTGAGCTGACGGGGACAGATGATAGAGGTTCCGGAGCTAATACGCTGAGGTGAGCTGACCGCGGCTCCATACAGAGCTGACCGAACAGAAACTTAGCTGCCGCCACAATTAACAGTGGCGAGGGTGTACTCAATGACTACTTTGGAACGGTGCGACTTCAGCTATGAACCCCGGATGCACTGTCAGCTGACCTCAGAGTACAACTGGGGCCGTCGGTACTTCTGGTGCGGAGCAGGAGGCTGAGTCCTCAAGCTGACGAGCAGCAACGAACTGCTCGTGAACTCGGAACTAGTATAGCTGACCACAGTCACCTTGGCCGAGTCGGTGTGGGCTCAGTCTCCAACTTGCTGATCCCCCTGACGCGCAACAACTCAAAGCCGCAGGTTATATCAAGCCGCAGTACATGACCGTTTTTGTCCTTGAAGGTGAGCTACTAGGTGCTCTCGCTTTAGCTAATCAGCAGGTGCACTATGTCCCCATTAGCTGGATGTCCATCTGTCGGTATGAACGCGTAAGCTGCTTCACACCTCGCCCTAGCTGACAGCTAGAAATCACAAAGTTCGGAACCAAGCTTCAGCTACTGTAGTGGGAACCACGACCATTGTTGTAAGCTACACTGTGGGAAGACTTAGGCTGAGCTGACAATCATTGCTCTTGCCATTCGATCCCCCTATAAGCTAACTCTTCCCCGTCTGTCAGCTAACGCTCAGCTCGGATTCGCGCAGCTGCTCAAGCTATTGGTCGCTCCCCGCTCGGATGAACAAGAAGACAGTCGCGGCCTCGGTGTGAGCTCACTGGCTGTATCGGGTGAGACTGACGGCAGCTTGCGAACCTGTCTACTCAGGTGGCAGATGTCCATCATCCCCGTTGATGATTCTGGTCAGCTTGAAAGCTCCCACCCCGATTCAGCTGACTGGTAGGCGACGACGCAGAACACAGTCCGAAACATCGGTAAGCTCCTCGTGCTCCTTACGCCAAACTGAACTTCCAGACATGGTCAGTCTAGCCTCGTTCAGCCCACACCCACATCTCAGGTGAGCTCGATCGTCTTCATGTAGGAGCTGACCACTCAGACAACCTCCACCTCCAACACATCTCACGGCTCCCAACCTCTTCGTGAGCTTCTGATAGGGCTCCATCCTCAAGCTGACGTCCCAGTCCTCTCCAACTCAACCCAGCAACATGTGCCACACTCACGTCCCTCCTTCACCGGCTCCTCTCACCACCCCGCCAGAAACATCCCAACAGCTCTGGGGCATGTAGCTCAGTTGGTAGAGCGCGTCATTAGCATCGGGCTAGCATTGACGAGGTCTTTGGTTCGATTCCTAACCTGTCCACAGCTTATCTTTTGCACCCCTGTGCTCTCTTTATGCATGTTCTGGGAAAGAGGAGACGGTCGGAGAATCGGACGACAAGAGGAAAGGGTGAGTTCAGGGTTTGGCGGTGGGTGGGTGGGTGGAGGTTGTGGCGGTTCGGATTTCGAAATCCTGAATATTCGATTGCCAGCTGTGACCCACGCTGAGTATAGGGGGGCGAGGGGGCAGGCAAAAGGGGACGGTAAGTGGAGCTAAGTGCGCGACTTTTGTGTCTGTACCGTACATGCATTATCTGATATCTATCCTACTTCCTACTCTACGCCTTGATCGCCTTAAGACCCTCTACTCTCTTGCCAATCTGACTCTTCATCTCCTCGGCCGCCTTCTTGATCTCGGCCTCCTCGGCCTGCTTGGCCGCCGCCATAACGCGGTCGAGGAGGTTGTACGGCGCGTCGGCCGCTGCGTCGCGCTTCGGCAGGAGGTCTGGCGGCGCCAGCCCCCCGAGGAGCTCGGACGCCCAGCCGAGCGCCTCCCGCGTCCATCCCGCCGCGAGCGCGCGCGAGATGAAGCTCTCGGCGTCCCGCGCCATCTCGGCACTGGCGACCCACGCGGGCATACTACGCGCGTTCGCGAAGAAGACGTCGGCCACAGACGAGGTGTACCGGTATCCCGTCTTTGCCGTGTCGTGCCGCGATAGCGAGGTTTGGAGGTATCGCTGCGCGAGGGCCGAGGGGCTGCCGCGCAGCCGGGCGGTGATGGGCGACGCGGCGAGCCATGCCTCGCTGCTGTTGTATCCGTCAACGGAGGCGTTCGGGCGCTGCTCCAGGTCGACACAGCGCTCCGCCACCGCCACAAAGATGTCCGTCATGTCCGTGCCCGACGCGGCCGCGGTGGAGAATGCGTCGTCGAACTGCGCACGCTGCGTAAACAGGCCCACGAGCTCGGCCGCAGACAGCGTAACGGCCGCATCGACGAGATTCGGGTTCGCCCCAGTCAGCTTCAGCTGCCCCAGCACCGTCGCGTACTCTGCCCGCATGTCCTGGAGCGTGACAATGTCGACGGGCCCGGTACCGTCCTCGAACTCTTCCTTCGGGATGTTAGACGAGGTGCGCTGCGGCGTGTCGGTGAGAACGGAGATCCAGGCGTTGCGCTTGTCGACGAGCGCGAGCGCGTTGATCGCAGCGAGGTACGACTGCGCCTGCATCGCGCTGAGGGAGTAAGGCGAGATACGTCCCGAGGACGAGGCGAGGAGAGAAGCAAACCGCTGGCCCTGAGCGTACATGATCTCAGCGGCGGAGCGGTAGTCACCCCTGGCGATGTGCCACGAGTACAACACGCGGTAGTAGTTGGGCGCCTTGAGGGGGTCGCTGTTGCGCGCCTTGAAGGTGAGGCGCTCCTCGACGTCACGCTGGAAACCAATGAAGCCCAATCGCGTGAGGCGGCCGACCTGGCCCGCCTCACACATGCCGCTGATGAGCTGGCCGAGAAGGTCGCGCTTGATGTCATGGTGCGGCGCGGACGTCAGAACGCTGTAGGCAGCCTCGTACTCGCCCTGCGCAAGGTGCGCAAGGAAGACGCGGGTGTACAGTGCCCTGGTGTCGCTGTCGGGCATATGCGAGATGGCGAGAGTACCGAAGTGCGCAACGGCAGAGTCGAGACCGTGCTCGTCCGCAATGGCGAGCGCGCGGCGGTAGTACTCGCCCAGGGCGTTCGGGCTCGTGCAAGCCGGCAGGATGCAGGCGAGCGAACCGTCACGGCATCCCTGGGCCGCGAGCTCGAGGTAGCGCACGCCCTCCTGATCGCCGCGCTCGAGGAGAGCACGGCCACGAACGAACGCCATACCGCTGCTGAGCGGGTAGCGCTCCGTGAGCTCGACGGCGGCTCGGGGGTGGCCGTCGCTAAGCACGGCATAGGCGAGCTTGACGTCAGCAGCCTCGGGCTCGACATCGATTTGGTCAGGAGACAGGAGGTCGAGGCTGGCAACGAACGCAGACGCGGCGTCGAAGAGACCGGCGAGTGTGTCGGCTGGCGGCGCCTGCGCAAGCTCGGAAGCAAGGAGAGAGTGCAAAAGCGAGTAAGCCGTGTCGTAGTCTCCGTCACCGCCAGGAGTGTCGCGCATACGCAGTCCGTCGAACTCAGCAAGCACATCGTCCTTCCTAGCGGCTCGGCGGACGCGGGACGCCTCAGCCGCCTCCTCGCCCGTCTGCTCCGACACCCAACGGCCGACAGAGTATCGGTGGTACGTCGCCTGCGCGCGAGCGAGCACCTCGATGAGCGCCTCAGACTCGTCATCCTCGGCTGACGGGTCCGGTGATGTGGCGAGATGCCACAGCGAGACGAGCAGCACGTTGCGCGCAAGCACGTACCTCGCCTGGAGCACGTTGGCGACAGCAGACGAGAGCAGAGCGTTGCCGAAACCGCTGAACGACCAGCGCTCCGCCTCCTTTCCGCCCGAGATCGGTTGCGGCGGCGTGGCAAGAATGTCCAAAGCCTCAGACAGCGTTCGCGTGATATCTGAGCTCTCAGAGAGCGCGCGCTGCACAGCTTCCCGCTGTCCGTCGGTGATGTACGGCTCAACCATGTCGTCCCAGAGAGCGCCAGCGAGGTTCTCGACAGGCATCGAAGCACCCTGTCCCAAAACCTCGTCGAAGGCGGCGGCGAACGCATCCAGAGCGGTGTTGCGCTCGGCACTCGCGTAGCTGATCACGTCGTCGAGAGGCGTCCGCGCCTCCTCCTGTACCAGGTGCGGGTGCGGCTCCTGCGCCTGCAGCGCCGTCGCGAGATCGTTACCCGCCACAGCAAGCGCGGTCAGGCACCGGCGCGATTGCGGCGGGGCAAGGGGCGCATACTGCGGCAGAAGGGCGCCCTCCGGCAGCGCCTGGAAACGAGTCGCCTTGTCGGTGTGCGCACCGAGGTCGACGAGAACGCCCGGCGTGTCCTCCTGCACCGGCACGGAACCACCCTCGCGGTCGAGAATCAGAACCTGTCCGTTCATGGAAGCGGTGCCGACGGGCCATCGTCCCTGCTTGTCAAGCTCACGCACACGCGCCCAGATACCGAGCCACTCCAGCTTGAGCTGCTTGCGGAACTGGTCAACGACGGGCGCGCCCGTCTGCGGGCTGGTCTCCATGCGGAGCTGGCTGCCGACGGCAGCCTCGAACTTGCTGGAGAGCGAGGGGTAGATATTGAGAAGCAGCTGGTCCTGTTTCGCTTGCGGGAGCTGGTCGATGTAGTCGTCAAGCGCCGCCTCCAGGTTCAGTTGCGAGAAGCGTCCAGGGAAGAACAGATGGTCGATAAACGTCGCGGCAATGTCCGAGTTGTTGTACGGCTCCGTCGGCTCCGGCGCCTCGAGGCCCAGAATGTTGTCAAAGTACGGCGCATCGAGGCGGTCGACTTCCGAGTCGTACGCGGCCCGCTGCCATGAGAACACCAAATCAGACTCGAATGACGGCTCGAGGTATGTCGTGAACTGCAGGATGTGGTTGACCGGAACCGACTCAGCAACGAAGGTGCCCTGGTCGTCCCAAGCTGTCCACAACCGCCATCCATCCTTCGAGTCTGTACGCAGTGGCGGCTCGATCTCGAAGCCGCGAAGATTCCAGCCTGCAGTATCGGAAGAAGCGGGAAGCTCGGCAGCGTACACCAGGTCGTTAGCGTGGTGCGCACCGTTGTTTCCTCGGTAGAAGACGAAGATACCGGCCGAGTTGGAAGCGAACGGCGTCGGGACGAACACAACAACGATGTGCGACACTCGCGGGTTGGGGCTCGGATGCGGCACAACGCGGATCAGCGACGTCGTCGCCTCCGGAAGCTGCTGCATCGTCGGTGTTCCCTGAACAAGCGCCTGCGTTGATGGCGTCCTGACGTCCATTGTCTTGAGGCAGTGGCCAGACACGGAAGACCAAGTGCGCAGCTTCGAGTCGCGGGAGAACGTGTACATGACCGGCATCTGGTCCACGAGGTCAAACTCGGCAATCGACGTGACGGTTTCGTCCACCGTTCGGGAGAACAGACCGCCGAACAATCGGTGAGACGCGCGGTGGTGCTCTTCTGACCATTGTGGTTGTTCTGATGTCAGCTTTCCGCACCGGTGATGGTCGTAGCTCACCTGATGTCGAGTTCGGAGTGCGAGCAACCTGGATGATGCCTCCGTCTCCGCATCCCAGGATAACCGTGTCCTGGTTGGCAATAGACCAGGATCCGACCTCTCCCGCCGAGCTAATGAGCTCCTCGTTGACCTCCCACTCCTCGCACCAGTCGTGCTTGGGGTTGAACGTGATGCGATCTCCTCGGTCGACAAACGAACCGAGGTCAAACTCGAAGCGGTACACAACATTGGCCTGGGTAACAACGACAACGTAAAGATTGCCATCGGTGGTGGAAGGCACAATGCAGTTGTTGGCGAGCGGACGAAGCTGGTCGGGAAGCATGATGCGGATCGCAGCGTGCTGCAGAGGCCCGCTGCCGGCCGCGATGACGGGCGACAGAGATCGAAGCTCGAGAGCGTAGCCATTGTAGATGCTTCGCGCAAAGATTCCCGTCGCAGCGTCAACAGCGGCACTAACCGCATGGTCGGCATTCAGCGGCGAGGTGTACGGCTCCGTCGTCTCGGGGAAGGGTCGCTCAGAGGGAACGGTGACCTCGAAGGCGTCGTCGTTGGACGGCGCCGGGAGATGCGCATGGCTCAGCTGGAAAGGGGAGTACACCGACATGGTGGGCTCGGCGGGCGCTTTGTCGCTGTCTTGATGTTGGCGTGCGCGGGTGCCGGTGCTTCCTGTCGATGGCTCTCGAAGATGGGATCAGAGATGGTGTGGGTGCTGAAATGTTGTTCTGGTTGCGACCACCATGTTGTAATTGTTGGATTTTGATTCCGCTCGGGCCGTCCATCCATCCAGGTGCGTCACCGCTGCGGTTGTGCTTTCGGCATCACTCTGCATACGCGCGTCTGAGCGTCTGATGTTTGTGCATGTGAAACTTTGCGCGTCATGTGCTTTGTGAGGGAAGAGAGGTCCATGCTTGCCTATGGATCTCGACTGCAAACGTCGGACGAGTGAGTGAAATCACGTGACTAGTTGAAACGGTGTTGAGCTCTTCGCTGACAACGGCGACGGATACCTGACCTTGCGATCTCCTTCAAACAGTAGACAATTGGGACGAGGTAGCTGAGACTGCGATGTTGTACTCGTTTCGTGGCCTGGTCAATATACGGCTTGTCTCCTCGGAAGAAGATCCGGGTGAAGGAGGGCCAGTCGATGCTACCGTGAGTAGTAAAGTTAGAAATCTGGGCTCGCACGATACTTTCAATCGTTACACTGTCATGTTGACCTCTAATGCTCCTGCAAGCTTCCAGAAGAAGCGGCATGCCGTCGTGCACAGAGAGGAAGGAAGACAAGAAGATCGGTGAACGGTCGATTGCTCGAGCCGGTCATGACGACAGCGTGGGGCTCCATCCGCCGAACCAACCGTAATGGTCCCGCTCGGCGGCAGCCAGCGACACAAGATTCAGCGAGCACCAAGATTCAGTTCAAGCCACTCGTGCCGAGCTGACAATCAACATCGTCATCTGCACCATCCCCATCGATTCGGCACTGCATCCCGGCGTCGGCAGATACGAGGTGAGCCCCTTTACTTTAACCGCTCCGTCATGCCCCACAAGCTCAGCTGCCTGCACCCTGGACTAGCTGATGGAGGAAGGCGGGGAAGGAACGTGTATTGACATCAGAAATGGATCCACGGAGAAGAGGGGGCGATCCCCGCCAGCGCGGCAACTACCAGCAGAACCAGGGCTACGGCGGTCCTGGAGGTCCCGGTGGTCAGGACGGCGGATATGGAGGACGAGGTGGTCCTTCGCAAGGCGTATACCAGCAGGGTGCGGATCCGAGATATCGCGGCGACCCGAGGGGCGACCCTCGTGATGCTCGGAGACAAGACCCGCGCCGGAGGGATGACCCCCGCGGTGACCCCCGCGGCGACCCTCGAGGAGATCCCAGAGGAGACCCCCGTGGTGATCCTCGCGGCGATCCCAGAGGAGACCCCCGGACCGCCAGGACCACCGGGCCCGCCGGGAATGGATGGACCCCCGCGCCAGGACCCGCGCGACATGCGGCCTCCGCCGGATGCTGTGGCGAGGAACGGAGCTGGGCCGCCGGTGCCGCAGCCGGCTGAGGAGGAAGTTGGGCCGTCGATCCGACAGCGGCCACTCTTCTGTGTTGTGTGTGCGAGTAACAACGTAAGCTAGTTTACTATTCGCGCAGCTGACATCAGAACCGATCCATGGAGGCTCACAAGGTGCTCGCGTGAGTTTTGTAGAGCGTCGCCCGAACTAACAACAGTAATGCCGGACTCCGTGTGATCTCTGCGGGCACGGGCTCGGCGGTGCGCCTTCCCGGACCTGCGATCGACAAGCCGAACGTGTACCGCTTCGGAACCCCTTACGATACGATCTACAAGGATCTCGAGTCCAAGGACCCGAAGCTCTACACTGCGAATGGGCTGCTGCCGATGCTGGACCGAAACCGGAAGGTGAAGCTTGCGCCAGAGAAGTGGCAGGAGCAGCGCAACATCCTCGCCGACGTCGTGATCACGTGCGAGGAGCGATGCTACGATGCAGTGTGCGATGACATGCTTGCGCGCGGCGGCGAGTTCAACCGCCCGATCCACGTTATCAACGTCGAGATCAAGGATAACCCCGAAGAGGCGCATATTGCGGGCAAGAGCATACTCGAGCTGTGCCAGACGGTGAGCTTGATGAAGCCGATCGAGCTGACAAATACAGATTGAAAAGGCGCGCGACATTGACGCGGAGATGGACGACATTCTTGTGCAGCACCAGGAGCGGCACCCGCATGCTCTGCTGCACACTGTGGCATTCTTCTGAGCGAACGCGATACCCGTGGAGGCGACGAAAGGAAGGAAGGGATTAGAGGCTAGAGCGCGATACGAGGCGGTTGCGAGGTAATAGAGCCGATGCAAAACAGAGGCCCCTTGTGCTGCATTCTGTTGAATGCATGGGGTTCAAACAATACAGAACAGACAAAGGACATTCAGAGGTGCGCCTGTGCATGTCGGACCACACATATCATGCAGCATTGGCAACCTATGATGGAACTGGCGCTGGGCTGGAACACATGTTGCAGAGCATTGCAGGGGCTATGAATAGCTCCGGTGCCAGAAAACAACGCTAGGCATTCTACGATGGAATCTTCCAAGTCGAGGGCGATGGCGTCTTTGTTGAATGGCGCTCGCCTGATCGCTCGAGGGATGTGCACTGGCGCCAGCGCAGCGGGTTTAAGGTGTTTTCCATTATGCATGCATGCGTCCAAGTATCCTAGGGCTAGTAGGGCTTCTATCGGAGCCTTTGTGAGTGAGCAATTCGAGGGTGCGCACGAGCACCAGGCGTCGAACAAGGGGGCGACTGTGGAACGCCTCGACATTCAAAGATCAGTGGGATCACCTACCGACTGTCCGGACCGGCGAGGACCGGCGGGGTTGTGATTCCTGGGAACTGATCGCATGTGGCCTAGCTAGGCGCAGTAGCCAACGAGCGTCGAGGGAGGTATGCATGCGGCGAAGAGCGCGTGGTCTACCTTGGTCGGGTCAACCTTAACGATGGAATGGGTGCCCTGGAGGGGATGGAGGGGGTGGCTCTACTGACGGGGTCTGGTATTTACCTGTACCAGTAGTCGGCGCGCGGTTGAGTGGCCATTGAATTGAAAACAACCGTCCGTGGTTCAACCACGCGCCGGACAGCCGGCAAGCCAGCGGCCAGCGGCGGCGGACGCCATAGTCTCTCCCTTGTCCGTCGACTCTTTGCATGCTTGCATTCTTTGCTTCCTCTCACACCCTCACCCTCCCCCCACGACTACATGACCCAAGAGGGCTGCTGCTCACTGATCACTACAAAGATCAGTGGTGCATACAAGCCCTCTCCCTCCCCCTTCACCATCGCATCTCCTCTACCCCAAACGCGATCGACAACTGTCAACAAGAGACCACCCACGCACACACACGGCACCTCGTAATCCCCTCACCCCCCCACAACCTCCACATTTTGGCCACTCACGCACTCGCAAGACCTAGTCCGACTGTGCCGACTCCTGCACTACTAACTCACCCCTCTGCACAAGCATACCCTCCCGTCGCCGCCACCATCCAGACCTACGAGCATGAGTCATGAGCGCTACAGCCTTGTCCAACTACCAGCTCGGCGACCTGCTTGGTCGCGGCGCCAGCGGCAATGTCTACCGCGCACTCAACTTCCTCAACGGCGAGACAGTCGCCATCAAGTCGATCTCCCTCTCGACCCTCCCCGCCAGCTCGCTCCCGGACATCATGTCTGAGATCGATCTGCTCAAGAACCTCAACCACCCCAACATTGTCAAGTACAAGGGATTCGCGCGCGACAAGGAGAGCCTCTTCATCATCCTCGAGTACTGCGAGAATGGCTCGCTGCAGACCATTCTGAAGAAGTTTGGCAAGTTCCCAGAGTCCCTCGTCGCCGTCTACGTCCGCCAGGTCCTCCAGGGCCTTGTTTACCTCCACGAGCAGGGTGTCATTCACCGCGATATCAAGGGCGCCAACATTCTCACCAACAAGGACGGCAGCGTCAAGCTCGCAGACTTTGGCGTCTCGTCGAAAGCACCGACCCCGGACTTGGCCGCCGTCTCCGACCCTGACGCTGACAATGAGGTCGTCGGATCACCGTACTGGATGGCACCGGAAGTCATCGAGCAGAGCGGTGCCAGCACGGCAAGCGATGTCTGGAGCGTCGGCTGTGTTATTGTTGAGCTCCTCGAAGGCAAGCCCCCGTATGGCGACCTTGCACCGATGCAGGCTCTCTGGCGCATTGTCCAGGACGAGAGCATGCGGATACCGGAAGGCGCTTCACCAGTGAGCTGCCCGTGGTGGATTTCAAGCTGACATCAGGTCGTCAAAGACTTCCTCTACCAGTGCTTCCAGAAAGACCCCAACCTGCGAGTGTCGGCAAAGAACCTCTTGCGTCACCCGTGGATGCAGTCAGCCAAGAAGAACTTGGAGAATGACACTGTCGACGTCGGAACGCTCAAGAAGGGACCAGCTGCCCGGGAGAAGGTCACCAGTAACGGTACCAAGGCACCTGATGTCGCACCAGCTGCAAGCAAGGATGGTCACACTGTCAAGAGCAAGAAGCCCATTACGGAGTACTCGGCTGCGATTCAGAAAGTGCAGGAATGGAACGAGGCGCTGAATGGTGAGTGTCCAGGTAACGGTTGCCTGAGGAGTGACTGCGAGTGACTGACCACCCATCGCAGCCGCGCCCAAGAATTTCGGCACGGTGCGACGCATCCCCAACCCGACCAAGAAGCAGCACGAGCCCCCGCTGCCCCCGCCGTCGTCGTCCAAGGCTGCTAACCCGCCGGTGGCCGCGCCCATCGCAACGGGCGGCCTGTTGCAGAAGAACAAACACGTCAGCGACGTCCTGAAACGCGCAAAGGAGAGCGCCGAGGCTGAGAAGTGGGATGACGACTTTGCGTTTGACGAAACATCCTCCAAGATCAGCAGTTTCAGGAGCGATCGCAGCGAGAACGCAGCAGATGACGCAAACGCTAATCACGCGACCGTGCGGCAGACCAAAGATCCAAAGGACTCGCAGCGCGATCCCCACAGCGCCCCGAAGAGCAACAAGGGCTCTGCACGGCTCAAGGGTATTCCGGAAGACTACTCTGACCTCGCGGGCGACGAGGACAATCTTGATCTCGAACTCAAGTTCAGCAATCTCAAGGTAGGCTGAACAAACCATTCATGAGCTAATGGCAGATCCGTAACAAAGGTGGGCGCATTCGCCTGATGCACCCGAGCGACTTAAAGAAGATGGGGTCCTTTGAGTCCGAACCGAAGGACAAGGTCAAGTCCAGCAAGGATACAGGCAAGGAGAAGGAGAAGGAGCGGGAGAGGGCCAAGCCCGAGCCCAAGAGGGAAGAGCCTCTGGCTCCGAAACCTGAGCAGCCAGTCCGACCACCGAAAGCTGCGTCGCGGCCACTGCCTAAGAAGTCTTCGTCGCCCGAGCCGCAGCGCCCCACGACTAGCCCAACACTGTCGCCGCCAGGCTCTCGCCAGAGCTCCCTGCGTGGCAAGGCTGCGGAGGCTGCTAACGTCGAGTTGCAAAAGTATACCGAGGACGACGACGATGACTACAACGACATCTTCGACGGCCCCGTAATCCATCCTGATGGCGTCGCTTTGCAGTCGCTGCAGCTGACGCGGCGTTCGAACCACTCTTGGAGGGAGGTCGAGGAAGAACAGGACCCGTTCGCCGAATTCGACGACGACTTTGCCACCAACAGCCTCGAGGACAACTTGCTCCAGACGAAGAGGGCGGCACTGCACACGAGCGTCTCGGACATCATCGCCCGACTCGAGGCAGGCGGCGCGCCCGTCCGCGAGGCCGCCGACGAGCTCCTCACCCTCTTCGAGACGAGCCCGGACGACATGGGCCTCGAGCACTACTTTGTCGTCAACCACGGCATGCTCACGTGAGTTTCCCTACTCCCGGCATTGCTAACTCTCAGCATTCTCGAGATTCTGGAGGGACGGCTGACGCGCGACGTTGCTGTCCGACTGCTCCGAATCGTCAACTACGTGAGCTGTCGTCGTCTGAACGAGCTGACAACAGATCGTAACTTACGATGTCGACAACCTTGAATCATTCTGTCTCGTCGGAGGCATCCCCGTCATCATTGTGAGCTACCACAGGCGGACCCCAGCTAATCCCAGCCATACACCAGCAAGAAGCATTTACTCGAGACGCGTCTCGAGGCATCCAAGTTCATCCAGCATCTCACACACTCTCCTTTGACTCTGCAAATGTTCATCTCATGTCGTGGCCTCAAAGTGCTCGTCGAGCTGCTCGACGAGGACTACACTGTCAACAAGCATCTCATTCTTTCGTCGCTTGAGGGTATTGGCTCTGTCTTCGATCTCCAGGTGAGCTCGTTGGGCTGTGTGCTTTGAGCTGACACCAGTCCCCCACGCCAAAGCCCGACTTCTGCCGCATGTTCACCCGCGAGGGTATCCTGGACCCGCTGTCGACGGCGTTACTCGCGCTCATCAAGGACGCAGAGGTCGGCGAGGAGACGACCAAGCGCGCCGTCGACGTGCTCCTGCTGTTCTGCCAGGTTGGACAGGCGGACGTGCACGTGCGCGCGGCGTTTGCGCACCGCACGATCATGATGCGCCTGCTCAAGTCGCTGCCGCTGCTCCCGCGCAAGCAGCTCGTCACCGCGATCAAGGCGATCAAGCATCTTGCGACATCGCCTCAGCTGATCGAGGTGCTCCAGAACTCGAACGCAATGGAGGTGCTCGTCGAGCTGCTGGGCGAGACGCTGAAAGGGTCGTTCTCGAACGAGATCTGCTCCCATATCTTCCAGACGATCTACTCGATGTGCCGCCTCTCCAAGTCAAGGCTGGAGGAGGCGTCCGCCGCGGGCCTCATCCCGATTTTGAAGCGGACGATCGACGACAGCTCGCCGCTGAAGCAGTTTGCGCTGCCCGTGCTTTGCGACATGGCGAATGCGGGCAAGGTCTCGCGCCGCCTGCTCTGGCAGAATCAGGGCATGCAGATGTACCTGACGTTACTGGACGACCCGTACTGGCGCGTGTCGGCGCTCGAGTCGATCTTAGCGTGGATGCAGGACGAGCCCGCGCGCGTGGAGGAGGTCCTGCTCGGCGCGGCCGAGACCGAGTCGTTCATCAAGTGCTTCTGCCTCGCGCACGGCGCGTCCTTCGCGCGCATCCTGGAGCCGCTGTTGAAGCTCCTCCGTCTGTCGCAGCACTTCACCGCCGCGCTCGGCAAACCCCGGTTCTTCAAGAAACTCTCAGAGGCTCTGTCGAGGGACTACGAGGCCGTCGTCAAGTCCAACCTGCTCCGCATGCTGCGTGCCGTCATCGAGCAGCGGCGCGACCGCGTCACGCTTGTCCGAGAGTTCAGTCTCGATGCGATCGTCGAGAAGCTCGCCGAGGAGCACAACCCCGTTGTCGTGCGCGACCTCGCGCGCCAAATCTATCCCATCGTCACGGGCCAAGCGGCTGCTGAGCCCAGGGAGACCCGCGAACGGGATCCCCGCGACTCACTCCCCCGCCGCGCCGGTCTCGAGCCGGCACCACGCGGGCCTCTCCGAGCGCTTCGGTAGCATCACGGAGCGTCTCTCAACGGCGTCGGGGCGATATGAATCCCGCGGCGGCCTCGGCGTAGCCGAAGGGCTGATGCAGGGCTTGGAGCGCGCGCAAGCTGCATCGGCGGCACAAGCGCACGCCGCAGCCCACGCGGCGCTGACGGGCCGAAGCCGGCCACTATCGCAGCAACTCCCCACCCTCAGTCCGCCAATCCAGCACATCCAGCACATCCGGCGCGGCTCCGCCGGCGCGGTGTCCTCGCCCCTGGCACCCAGCATGTCGCGCACCGGCAGCGGCACATCCACGCTCGGACCCCGCAGGACATCAAACGGGGACGCGGGCATGCGCAAGGTCTCGCCGCCATCTGCGTCTTCGGCGCCGAAACGGAGGTCCCACCTGATGGACGTGCAGTGGGACGTGGACGAGAACGGCAAGCTGGCCAAGAGCGTCAAGAGCCCCATTCGGCCGAAGAGCCAGCCCGGCAGCCCCATCCTCCAGTAGGGACGGGGGACGGGACTCGGTCCCGCAGGGGCCGAGTTCGTAGGGTTTGCGCTACCGACGGACGGGCTCGCGCTGCCCGCGGCTGATGAGTTGGCGCTGCATCTCGGTGGCGCCGATGGGGCGTATGCCGCGTACGACGCGAGCGAGGGGTTCGGGTACACGCCGTACTATGTCGGGGATCGCCTCTCGCCAGGCCCCATCTCGCCAAGACCGACATTGGGACAGGTGGGCGTCGGATTGGCAAGGTCGGCGTCGACGAGTGGCGCATATGCACCGCGCAAGGTCGTGCGCGCCATAACACCCACGACGCCGACGCCCACGCCTTGATGCCTCCCCCATTACTACCCTCTGCCAATCCTTACATTATCAACTCATTCTATAGTCGGCTCTCATCCCTTCATATTCTCAGCTCTCATACGCTTACACTCTCCATGCGGCCCCTTCGGGTCCGCCTCATCCTCATTCTCATCAGTCATCACAACCTACAACCTACAACTCTTACACTCACACACACCCAGTCAAAGCAAACAAGTGTACCATTACGCCTCCATGCCGCCATGCCGCCCCCTCACCTCACCTCACAGTACCAAGCACCAGTATCACGCTTTATGCATCGCATTATTCACCTACACTTTGCTCGAGCGCGGCGAGAAACGACCTAGCGACCTGTGAAGACTGTTGTCAAGTTTGTCGCTCCGTGGCTGCGCTGGAGGTGGGGTGTCGTGAGAGATCAGTGATCTGTGAAGTGGCACCCGTCTCCGTCATCTCTGCTGAGTATCTCTGACCTAAGGCCTAGGGCAGTCAGTGAACTGATAGTCTAGCACGGCTCGTGAACTAGGACGGCTCAGATCATCCTCGGTGCGAGCGTATCGCATGAATCAATGCAATGCAGAACAGAATGCTAGTATGGCTATGCTGATGCTACTGTAAACTTGGTAGATAGTGGTGATAAGATAAAGAATGTCTCTGTTTGGTTCTTTTACTCCTTCTTCCTGCTGCCCTTCTTTCCCTCCTCCCTCTGCGTCTCCTTCTTGGCTTGTTCGGCTGCGAGCTCGGCCTCGATTTCGGCATGGATCTGCGCTTCAAGGGTCGCTGGGGTCTCGGCTTCGGTTTCGGGTGCAGTTGCGGCAACGGGGAGCTCGGTGGTGTCGTTGGCATGGCTGGTTTCGCTCGCCTCGACCTCTGCAGAGGGCTTTCCGTCGGGATCACGGGCCTCGCTTCGCTCGGCGTTGCGGCCCGCCCACGCCGCATCCCTCGCCGCCTTCAGCCTCCGCACCTCTCCGCGCTCCGTCGACTTCTGGCGCGCCTTGAGCGCATCCCGGCGCCACTGCGCCTTCCAGTGCTCAAACTCGGCCTCGACGTCCAGGTTATCCACGAGACTGCCAATGGCCTTCTTGTTGAGCACGGGACGGCGGCGAGATCCGCGAGGGCGCACCGCGTCGTCGTCCTGGAGCATGCGGACTGCGAGGCGCATGGCCTGCAGGATACGCTCGGTCCAGATCTCGCGGCGCTCGACGAGACGCTCGTTCAGAATTTCGGGGTCTTCCTCGGGAGCATGCTCAGTCGTGAAGTAGTGCGGGTTGTGCCACGCTGCGCGCTTCGCAGAGCCCTTCAGGCCGAAGTTGGAGTCGAGCAGCTCGGCGTCGACTTCGGAGGCATCCATGTCCGACTCGTCTTGGGTACGAGGCACATCGGCATCAGGGTCAGAGTACGAGGGGAGACCGGCGGCCCGGTCCGCCGCCATCTCGGACGCAATGGCGTGCGCCGCCTCGCCCGAACCAAGATCCATCTGCGCGCCCATTTTGGACAGACGCTTGACGCAATCCTGAACGACGTGCCGCAGGCTGTTCGTCAGGGGGAACATTTGCCGCGTCGGGGACATGTCCTCAGTGTCGCCGCCGCGAGCGGTGATGACGTGGTGGCCGATCCAGAAGATGGCGCCGGGGGCGTCGTAGGCATTTGCAAGCGCAATCGCGACCATTTTGACGCCGCGCTCGTCCAGCTCCGTCATGCGGTGGAGCTCGCGACGGATGAAGCCGACAGCCAGCTTCGCCTCGTTGCAGAGCAGGTACGCCTTAATCATCTCGGTGAACGCGAGGCAATCGGGTTCGTCAATCTTTGCGTAGTATTCGCGTGCCGGCGGGTACGCGCCATTGCGTCCAAAACCGCGGATGAGCTCGGTCAGCATTGCGCGCGTAGGCTTCTGCCCAACCTCAGCGGCATATTCGAGCACCTCCTCGGCAGCCTCCATGTTGCCTGTACGCGAGTAGGCGGTGATGAGAGACACGTAATTGGCCTCGGCCGGTCGCCAGCCGTCCAGTACGTACGACTGCCAGGTCTGACGTACCGCGTCCGCCGGCCAGGCGCCGTCGAGGGCGAGTGCATCGTATAGCAATCGGTTGGAGAGCGATCGCGGCGAGCGAATCTGGCCGCTCTCCGCAACCTCACGCACGCGCTCGGCGAGCAGAGACTTGAGCTTGCCCGTGAGCGGGATGATCTCGCCGCCCTTGTCATCGACACCGAGATACTTCTTCGCCTGAAGAGGATCGCGGAACGCAACGCGCACAACGTTGTGCAATAGCTCATTCAGCTGCTCCGCCGTCGGCGGCGCAGACGTGCGCGACAGCAGCTCCTCGAACAGATTTGCCATCTGGATCGGCGAGCTGATGAGGTTCGCCCGCGCGTACCGCAGCGTGATCTGTACGGTGCGCTCGTCCGGCTCGATAAGCCCTTCGCGCATGAGCTCGGCGATGCGCGTAAAGCCCTTGTAGCCATGTTCCGAGATGGCCGCCTGCATTGCCGCGTTGGCGACCCACACGCCCGGTCGGAAGTCGCCCGGTATCGTCCACGGCTCGGGCACGCGCTTGCCATGCACAAGCGCCTCAAAGACGGCAATCGCCTCATCGGTCGCTCCAAGATTTGTGAGCGCGCGCAGCAGGAGAGCGACGCTCTTCTGGTTCACGAGCTTCGGGTGGTCCGCGAGCTTGGCCCAGTACCACTCGAGGTAGTGGCGATCCTTCGTCCGGCTCGCCAGATTGATCAAGTGCGTGACCGTCTCCGCGTTCGGGGGAACCTCACCAGATCCAACATCCTGGAACTCGCTCACGATGCGGTGCGCGCCGGGAATGTCAGACATGGCTAGACGCTGTCCGAGCATTGCATTGAGCACCGTCGTCGTCGGCCGCTGGTGTAGTTGCACCATGAAGTCGCGCACCGTGTCCTCCATGTCCTCGCCGCGGCCGCCGCCCTTCACCATCGCGACCTGCACCTTTTCCGGGTCGACGCCTCGCTCCATCGCAACCTGCATCACGCGGTGCGCACCGTCCCGATCGCCGAGCTGGAGCAGCGCCTGCAGGTAGTAGCAGATCGAGTCCGGCCCCGCCTCGTCGGGGTGCATCATGGCGAAGAGCTTCTTCGTGTCCCACGGTCGGCGCGCAATCAGAGTGCAGTTCATGGCGACGGTGATGACCTCGGGGCTGAGGAGCTGCTCGGGGATTCGTTCCGGGTCCAGCAACCGCGCGCCGAGGAGCCACCAGCGGTTATGCGTGATGTCGGTCGCAATCTGCTTCAGGCTGATGATACGCTGGTTCGGTCGGCGGAGCTGCATGTCGACGCGCTCGAAGAAGAGGTCGACGGCGAACCGGTCCGCACCCATGTTGGCGGCCGCACGGATAAGTGAGCGCAGTAGCTTGCCCCGGAGGTTGACACCAAGATCGCCGTCGTACGGCTGCGTCGTCGACGTCGGCTGCGCCTGCAGGATCGAGCGGAGGATCTCGAAACACTCCGTGATCTCCTGGCCCGTCGCCTGCGTCACTGACTCGCGCGGCACGCGCGTCAGCTGCCACAACATGGCCTTGACGTCCTTGGGATCAATCTCCGTCAAGCGATGCCGCGGCACGCTGCGCAGGGCGAGGAAGGCACCAATCGGCGCCTCCTTCACCATGCGCCGGAACCGCTCGTCTGTCCGAAGGGGATCGCCCTTGCTGAACGGCTTGGCGGAGCGGGGGTTTCGTGGGCGGCGCCTGGATATCGGTGCCGTTCCATCGCGGGGAAGGTGTCTTCCTCGCCCCGGTGCTCGGCCGGCGTCGGTCTCGGTCGAGGCGGAAGATATCAGTGCCGGCGCTGGCGGTCGTATCGGCTCCTGCGTGTCGTCAAGGTCGTCGTTCGAGCGGGCGAGAGCGGCCGAAGAGCCATAGTCGCGCGACTCGAACGTCAGGCTGCGAACCTGCGCCTGCCGGCTCGACTCGGCGACCGCCTGCCCGGTAGTGTGCCGGTACAGAACCGCGAGGCGGGGCAGCGTCTGCCCCTGCCTGGCGGTCAGCATGGCGGGGAGTATGTAAGATTGAGCTTAGTCGAACGCGAGGTCGTTCGTATGGGTCGTTATGTTCAAGTGTGTTTGGTATAGTGTGTAGCCGAGAGAAAAGAGGGAAGGCTCGTCGGTTCAAAGGCACGAGGTGTCGGGTCGTTCGGGCGAGCTCATTCGGAATCGCAATGTCGCTTTAAGAGCTGCTGCAGGCGTGCGAAAGCTTCGGATGAGCAAGTAGCAAGCCGGTAGTGAGTTCGCGGTCGACAGCTCTGTGTCTCCCGGAGTGTCGTCGCGCTCGGTGTGATGGGGGGAAGGTGTCGCTCCGCCGCTCGTTGAACTCAGGCGTCGGGTCTGTTCGTCGAAATCGAGGAAAATCCCAGCGACGGCGTGCGGCGGAGGCGCACGAGAACCAATGAACGGGACTTTATTGCGTCTCGTGGGGACCACGTAAAAACCACGTTCACCGCGTGGCGTTTTCCTGAAGTACTCGCTCAACGGCGGCGATGGAGATGCGATAGCACTTACAGGCGATATGACGACTGACGCTAGAAGCAAGTCGGGTTTGTGTATCTCGCACTTTGCTACACCACCCGACTCCGACACAGCAGGGGCATGGCGTCCAAGCAGCCAAGCCCGCTCATCCATGTCCCCGCTCGCTTCTCCGTCGTCGAGCCGGGCGTGTACCGCTGTGCCAGCCCCACCCCGCAACAGGTGAGCACCGAGTGACCGAAGGTCGCGAGGGGTATTGCAGCCCTGCGGCCGACAGCTGTACTCCTTCAGGACTTAGCTGACCCCAGATCCCCTTCCTCTCCACGCTCCGGCTCAAGACGATAATCTCTCTGACGGTCGAGCACCCAATACGGCCGCTGCTGCAATATGTGCGCTCAAACGGTGTGCGCTTCGTGCACCTCGGCGCGACGCTGTTCCAGCCTCTGAACGACTGGCGCCCGATATCAGACGAGATTGTGAAGGCTGCGCTCGAGATTGTGCTGGACAAGCGGAGCCATCCTGTCCTCATCATCGACTCGTGAGTCGTGGCTACCTCGTTTTGGGCGACTAGCCGCTAACAGCAGCATGGGCATCCACCAGACGGGCATCGTGGCCGGCTGCCTGCGCACAATGCAGCGGTGGAACTTTGCCTCGACCATGGCCGAGTATCGCGGCCACAGTGGGCCGACGAAACACCACTACAAGGACGAGACGTACATCGAGGTGAGCTGCTTCCTTGGCCCCATGAGCTAACTCGCAGCTCTTCGACCCGGACCTCGTGAATCTCCCAGCACCCCAGAACCTGCCCGAGTGGTGGGACAGCGAGGATGACGACTGGGACGACGGCTGGGCAGAGACGGACAAGGAGCCCGAGAAGAAGGACAAGAAGAAGAAGAAGAAGCTCGATCAGGAGGAGAAGGCCGAGGTCAAGAAGGAGAAGGAGGGCGTCGAGGGCATCGTCCAGGTTCCCGGGGAGCCGAAGATTGAGCTCCTCGAGTCGCCCGTCAATGCCGATGTCGCGCTGCCGTCGAGCGTTGCGTCGGGATGACCCCGCAGTCCTGCCAAACGCTCAGTCGCTAGCCGACACGGCACCCATTATCCCTCCCCCCCATTTCACACCTCACAGCATCCTTCATAGTAACCCAGTAGAGTCAGTAGTCTAATCACAGCCGCAAATCGCAATGTAACATATCTCATGGTGTCTGATGATACATACTGCCCCCATGGGGAGCTTTCTCCTTTCCTACTTCATCCAGCGGAGACAGAGGCGGTGACAAATGTCGCTGATCCAGCTCCAGCATTAAACTGGTGTGCTCGCGTCCGCGTCTGCCGCCGCTGCCACGGCGCCGACGCTCCGCTTACCTGCCAAAGCTTCCGGCCATCTGGGCCTGGCCGCCCATAGCCTGCATGCGCTGGGAGACCTTGTCGTTGACCTCGAAGAACTTCATGGTGCAGCGGTCGACGCACACGGCCTCGCCCTTGAGCAGCTCGGGCTCGGCGTAGCGGCCCTTCATGGGGTCGGGCTGGATGCACTTGGCGTGGCACGAGGAGACGATGCGGTTGCTACATGAGCGAAACGAGCGAAGCGAGTGAGCGGGCAGGAACGACGACGAGCGGAGCGAGTGGGCGAGTGAGGAGCCACAAGTGTCACGAGTGAACGAGCGGAGCGAGTGAGCGGGCACCACAATGAGCAGTGAGTGGGCGAAGGAGGTTGAGTGAGCAGAAAGACCAGAGAAAATGCCAGCCAGAGTAGAGTCCAGCAGATCGGGGGTCGAAAGCAAGCGAACAAGTCACGCGCGTCGAGTGAAGTAACAGCGTCAGCATCCCCTCCAACCTAGTATCCTCGTCCCTCGTCCTCGGCCCTGCGGGCCGCGGACTTCGGGCGACGGAGGCCTGCGGCAAAACTCACAAGACATCCGTGATCATCTCAATCTCGACGAGCGCGGCCTGGACCTTTTGCTCCGAGACGGCGCCGGAGTTCTGCGCTTAACGTTAGCGGAGCTCACGACGAGCGAAGCGAGGAGGGAGCTGCGAGTTGGGCCGGCGAGAGCGAGCGGAGCGAGGAGTGAGCTGCGAGCGAAGCGAGCTCAGGCGAGCTCCGAGCTGCGAGTGTATACGGGAACGGAGAGCGAGCGTGCGAGCATGCGAGCGCAGAGAGCATGCTCCTCCTTTCCGACCACATTCTGTCCGACTGTATCCCTGCCGGCCCGAAGGTACGAAGGTGTGGACATGGCAGACGAGCGGATATGACTGATAGGACTTGAAGCTCCGGAGTGTCCGAAATCGAATGGAACGAGTGGAACGAGTGGAACCATTCTTGCACAAAGAATCGCACGCATGCCCCACTCCCTCGGCAGCTCCACAACCGCTCCGCGCACTCTGCGCACTCCGCGCCTTCGGCGCTCCGTGCGTGACACTCACAACCACCGAAAAGGAAAGACATGTTTGACGGACTTGGGACGAAATAGGTAGAGTGGAAGCTCGAGGAATCCGACTTGGCTGACTTGGGCCAGTGAAAAAACCCAGCCTGCCCAGCCTGAAGCCAGCGGCGAAACCACGCCGTCCACCCTCCACATGCGTCACCTAACGGCCTGTCGGCTGGCCGGGCGTGCCTGAACCTGCTGGCTGGATCTCATCACCCACACTCGCTCACAGCCCACAGCTCGCATGCTCATCGCCCAGTATACTACCAGCGTGTCAGGTCGCGTGATTCTGTCAGACTCAGCAGCTCGCTCCGCTCACCGTCGCTCCGCACGCTCCGCACGCTCCGCACGCTCTGCGCGGTCGCTTCGCTTCCGCTCGAGCGCTGCGCGGCATAGTTGCACAAATGCATCATATGTACACTAGAATCCTATGCTAATGACAACAGAATGATTGACCGGTTGTTTGGAGAACCTGAGTTTGCGTTTTAATGGTTGGTTTGTGTTGGTTGGTGGATGGAGATGGTGATTGTGCATGAATGGTTTGGAGTGTGAGAGGGAAAGAGTGTGCGCGCCGGCACACTGTGGGTTGGGGTTTGGATGAGAGATGGGGGACGAGAGGACAGATCTGGCGAGGTCTCAAAAGCGCCTCTTCCGGCGACCTGCGGTCGCCTCAGAGACGCCTCGCATCCATCATCGCCTTCAGGTCATGACTCCGGAGCGATCCGCTCGACACCGAGCCGCCATTCAGCGCCGGCTGCTGATACCTGCTGCGTTCCTGGCCGCTCTGGAGCAGCTCCAGGACACCAGGCAGGAGACTGTTCTGCCGCGCGAGCAGGACCAGCTCCTTGCCCGTTTGCAGCCCAGCCATGCCGCTGACCGTGTCCTTTTCGCCCTCGGAGTACGCGGCCGAGATGCTCGCCTTGCGCGGCGTGTGGCCGTGCGATGAGCGCGCGGCGTCCTCGCCGTCCTTCGGGATCAGCGCGTCGCGGAGCACCTGCAGCCCGACGGCCTCGGCGGCGCGGCGTACCTTGAACGCTGGCGTCGGAGGCGCACCGGCGCCGATCTTCGTTTCCGTCGTGAGCCAAATTTGCCGGCTCAGGAGCGAGCCCCAGCGCTGTCGTGCCGCCGCATCGGGCACGGAGAAGCAGTACTTTCGCTTCGCGCCCGAGGTCGACATGAACGCCACCTGGAACGTGTGCTTCATGAACGCGCGCTCGACGTGGAACGCACGGCTGTTGCCGAGTCCCGGGTAGCGCTCCGCGTTCGAGCCGACGCGGCCGAACAGCATTGATTTCGGGCCAAGGGACGTACCCCGCACACGGAAGGTGCACTCGGCAGTGTTGGAGAAGTCAAGGAAGGGCGGGTCAAACTCGAGCCCAGAGCCTAGGAGGCGGATACCAAACGCCGAGTCTGGCTTCGGGATCGACACGGTAATCGGGTCGGACCAGTCGTTGAACGTCAGCTTGCTCGGCGGGCGCGACGGCTCGAGCTGAATGTCCCGCACGCGGTGCGCGTCCTGCGGGCCGAGCGCTTGCACGAGGCGGTTATTCCGAATCGAGTAGTAGAGGTTCTCCAGCGTCTCGTCCGGCACCTGGTGGTGCAGGTCGCGGTTGCGGAAGCTGTGGATGAAGCGGTCACGCGACACGGCGTGGTTCGGGAATGCAAAGCCGAACGTCGAGTACAGCATATCGTTGAGCGACACGATCGCAACAACCAGTTCCTGCGCGACGGCGAGGTCGTAGGGAAGCAAGCCCTCGTTGGCGCGGTGATAGCCGATAGCGAATCCACGGAGCAGCGCCTCGGCCGTCTGGACATCCGAGGGGAGACGGACCGCAAGGATGAACACACGCAAAGCGTTGTCGATATCCATGTGCTCAAAGTGGAACCGGTCGAGGAACGTGCTGAGCAGCGGCTGGTCGTTGGCGAGTAGCAGGCCCAACTGCCCCTTGTCGAGCTCGTACGTGCGGAAGAGCAGGCTGCCGAGGGTGACCGTGTCGATCTTGGGCTGGCTGCGCTCCATCAGGTTGTGGACAGCCGACTGCGGGTCGTCGGCAAAGCTGGTGATAAACTTGCGCACGACCGGGTGGCGCGGCTGTTCCTGCGTCGGCTCGTCCGTGATGCCTGAAACCACAACGCTGCTCAGGCTGACGATCGATTTGACCATGAACTGCATGTCGAGCGTGGCCATCGCACCCTGAGTGATCAACGGCTTCGCAATGACGAGAATGTCGTTGAACAGGAACAAGTAGCGATCCTTGACCGTCTGCGAGTTGACAACTTGCAGGACCTGCTGCGCGAGGAGAAGCTTGCGGGGCGGGTCGTCGAGGAAATCGGGGCGCGCGGGGTCATCGGGCGGCAGGGCCATCAGCGCATTCATGCGGCTGATGACAGCCTGAGACTTGATGGACAGAGGCATCGTCGTCTGATCGGAATCGTCGTCGATCGAATCAACGTTTGAGGTACCGAGCTCAATGGGAGGAGGGGGAGCACGACGACGGTTCGTCATGAACGCTGGTATTTCAGGACGCGACCGTGAAGAGCTGCGCATTAGATTCGGAGCCAAATCGGCGCTACCGTTAGTGCCGTGGGTAGACTGCGAGTTATGCGTGTTCTGCGAATACGTCGCCGAGGGCGTGTGGGAGTGCCCAGATTGCGAGTACGTCTGGTGGTTTGAGGTCGAGTGATGATCAGCTGAGCGGTCGTCGCTGACGCCCCGCGTGTGCATGGTCTGGCCGTGGCCGTGCGAGCTGCTTCCATGACCGTGCGAACTCGAGGTACCATCGTCGTTTGACGTGCGGCCAGCCGGCGTCGCTTGGCTCCGCTCCCGCACGGGCTCGCTAGCAGAGCGGTTTTTCTGCTGCTCCAGAGCCTGGATACCAGGGAAGGGTGACAGTTTCGAGTTGTGGACTCGAGGGTCGTTGGGGGCCGCCCGCGGGAGGAAACTCGGGGACGCCGCCCCAGAGTGGTTGCTGTGATGCTGCACGCTGCTCGCAGTAGACGACGCAAGGTGGTCTGACGTCGAGGGCGTAGCGGTTCCGTTGGTACCTTGATGGCGGGCGCGATCATTGGGGTTGTTCTGCACAGACTCATCTGAGACCTGGCGACTGATACCCGGGCTCACTGGGCCATCATGGTTGTTGGACGTCCGGCTGCCGCTCCTCTTGCGCAGTACAGCAAGCATATTCCGCCCAATCTGCTTAGACATGCTCGGGGTCTGCTTGTGCTGTCGGTGGTCGCCGTGCGAGTGAGCTGGTTCGCGGGGAGACATAGGGGAGATTGCGCGAGCGCTAGCTGCAGCTTGGTCAGTGTCGATCGCAGAATGATGCACTTACAATGTCCGTTGCTAGACGCGTCATCAAAGTAACCGCCATGGCCGGTGTCGCTTCGGACGCTCGCACCCAACACATTCTTGTCGAACCCACCGTTCTCAGGCACACGCGGAGCTTGTCGTGGTTCAGGTGGTGTCGACCCGTTCAGACGTCCCAAGTGCTCGCCGCCACCAAAAACGTCGCCTTTAGGAGGTACAGGAGGCACAACAGTCCCTTGAGACGATGTCGAGGCTTGGGTCGCGTGTCGCGTGGCCCCCGCAAACGGCCTACTCGGAAGGTCTTGCGGCGTCTCAAGGATTTCGTGGTCCTCGTGGTACGAGTGAGACTGCTCAGAGTAGTCTTTGGTATCCCTGTTACCATCGTCGTACACGTCTCCGTTCTCTGATAGTGGGCTTGGGACCTTGGGCTCGATGACCTCACCCCTCGCGGATCTGGCGGTACGAGTGGATACGCTGCGATTAAGGTGCGACTCGAACTCAAATGCACCTTCTTCAGAGGGCTCAGAGTTTCTGTCCGCGGCGGTGGGCGCCGGACCCCGTCCCAGTAAAGCGATGCTGGCGAGCGGTGAGATAGAGTTGGCCGTCACAGCCTGCGGCGAGTAGAGCGGTGTCCGTTGCTGCTCCGTTGCATTCGTGTTGGTGGAAGCACCCGAGTCACGAGAGCCGCTCATCATGCTGAGCTGCTTGGTGCGGCGGCGCTCCTCCCACAGTACACGAACCTCTTGCTCCTCCTTCTGGCGGGCGGCACGTCGCTCGGCGAGGCGCTCTACCATTCGTCGTCCAACCGCGCTACGTCGCTCTTCGCCCATGTTGGAAGACGACACGGTAAAACTACGCTGGAGCCGGGGTCGAGGGACATCGAACGCCGTGTCAGGGATGGGGGCTTCAGCCGATGGCGGTGTGACCACATCATCGTCGACTGGCTCGTCCACCGCAAGTCCGAACATGCGAGGGATGCCAATGGTGCCAGCTCGATGAAGCGAGGGCCGCGCGCCCGGGAGACCGAGAGTCACGTCCTCTTCTGACGAAACTGGCGTGGATGAGGCGAGACTGCGCGACGGTGTCGGCGTGTACGTCCCACCGGTCAATTTATTCATAGCGTTGGCTCTCGCTGCCGCCGAGTTTGATCGAGACAGGTTTCGAAGCTCTCCTAGGGTCGGAAGAGGACTGGGAGTATTCCGTCCTGCACCCGAAGCGGTCAAATTGCCCGGAAAGGCGCTGGGCGGGGTGCTAGTCGGGATAGGGCTGATGGATGGGAGATATGACTGGGCTAGCTGGTACGCGGCCCAGTCGGGCCCAGGGCCACTGACTGGAGAGGGTTGGGCGCTGTAGAAGGGGGTGCTAGTCGTCGAATAAGTGACTTGCGGAATAAAGCCAGAAGAGTCGGACGCCGACCTTTGCATCATTGTGCCATTGCCGTAAGCGTAAGCGTCGAATGGATCTGCCTGATCGAGGAGCTCCTCAGATTCGCTGTAGTCCTCGAAGCGGATAGAGGTCGGTGTCGCGGCGACGCTGTGTCCGGTCGAGCTTCCGTTGAAGCTGTCGTCGGGACCAAGGCCGGGTTGGACGACATGGGCGGGAGAAGGTCGCGGGGGTGTCTGTAGCTGAAGTGCGCGTCGGCCGTCCGGGTTTCGCGGAAGGGAGGCAGCGCGTTTCAGTTTTGCGATGGCTTGTGACCTGATTTCAGCTGACGGCGAAGGCGACACCGCGAACGGTGTCGGCGACGACGACATGGCTGAGGGGGGAGGTGTGGGTGTGTCGCCAGGATCAGAGACGGCTCAGAGTATGTATTGTCGGTGGTTGAGTAGTGTGAGTGTGAGTGAGAGGGAGGTAGGTGCGAGGGCGAGGAGGGGGGTGGGTGCAGGGTGAGGCCGGTCGAGTGCGGTGAGGGGACACGGCGGTGGTCGATGCGGGTGGAGGGTGGAGGGGGGAGAATGTGGATGCGGTTGTGTCGTTGACTATGCGGCTTTCATGGGAGGCTGTGCGGGGTGAATGAGATGACGGTGGGAGAGTGAGTGATGAATGCGATGATGATGTGTATGGTGATGATGATGATGATGAAGTGCCGGACGATGGGTGTGAGATTGGATCGATTGAGGGTGGTTGGTGATGATGTGGAAAGACGGAATGAGGCTCTGTCTGTGGATGAAGGGTCGAGTGAGAGTGAGGTCTGGAGCGTGCGGAGAGACGAGGCTGATTGCTGGCTGTTCAGGATCCATTGGCGGCTCGACGCGGCGGGGATTTGGGCACGCTGAGTGGATCTCGCATTGCCTTGGCTCCCTCTCGACTCCTGATCGAGACAACCCGCGCACACGCCACGACACTCAACGCGCGACACCGCTCCCAGGATACTATCCCTCATCCATGGCTGTGTTTGGTACACACACTCGCTCTTGCAGCAGCAGCAGCAGCACAGGGCCTTGACGCTTTTCCCACTCCTATTCTGGGCGCCATCCCTCTCATCCGCCTGCGTGGCCAGGCTCAAAGCAGTCTGGCGTGCACAAACCTCAGCCCATAGTCTCCCATAAGACCTCTGTGCACTGTCCACTTGGCACCCGGCCTGCATACCATGGCGCATGGCGTGCGGCGCCTCGACTCGCTCGCCTTCTTCCCCCCCCCTGGGAATCGTGGCGGCCATGGTCAGACGATCCAAAGCAGCCATGCACCTGCAGCTTGGTGAGGTACGAGCAAGGACCTTGGGACTGCTCTTCGATCGACCGGGGGAACACGACGCTTCGCTTACTCCTGGCCAAAGGTCGTCGGAGCGTACAGCCACCCCGCATTGCTGCTGGCATTCTGGATTCCGGATGGCCGTCGCACGTCTCAGCCAGCAATCATACCCACACCCCACTCTTCCCCCCTTTCCCTCACATCCACATCCGACAGCGCGGCCCCGCTCCAACCGGCGTGTTGGAATGGCCGTCTGCAGCACCGAGGTAATGCAAGGCCGTTGTCCGACTGTGGTGCAGGAGCATGCATGTAGCCGTAGATGTTGTTCAACAGACCAGCCCAACGGATGTGCCCGTCCTCGACGTCTGGGCCCTGTGACGTCTGGTCTCGACTTTTTCGCAGATTAACCTCAGCGGTTGAATTATCCCAAGGCACGCATCATTCATTTTCCAGTACCCCCTAATCGCACGCACACTTTCCAAATCTCATCTGCTTCCGTTATTGTCTCACCACACGATGGCTTCTGGCGCGGTTGACGTTTCACGTGACCCACTCCGACCTCCATCCGACATTCGCTCACCTCACCAGAACAACCAACTCGAACTTGCCGATCGCTGACATCAATACCGCCTCCACTCGCCCAAGTGATACTCCAGAGCTGCAGCGCGCATCGATCCGACATCGCGCAAGAAGCCAAAGCGACGCTCTTCCACTCGATCGACCCGTTGCGCAGCGTGCCGTCTGGCACTGATCCGGCACCATGATCACGCTGACACCGCTCTCGTCCTCGGCGACATCGGTATCGCCGGACGAGCCGGTGTCCTACTTCCTCGAGCTCGACGATGCGCGGATATTGCTGGACATGGGACAACGCGATTACCGTGCATCGGCACAGCAGACGTCCTGGGAGTACGAGGAGAAGATTCGGGAGTGAGTTACTACGCCGTCTACCGAACTGACCGCAGTCTCGCGCCGACACTGTCACTGGTGCTGCTCTCGCACAGCCCGACACAGTACCTCGGGCTTTACGCTTATGCTCGTGCACATTGGGGTCTCAAATGTCCCGTCTACGCTACGCAGCCGACGGTAGAGATGGGCCGAGTCGTGAGCCTGGCCGAGGCTGAGAGCTGGCGTGCCGAGTGCCCCGTCTCGGACGAGGAAGGCGAGTTTAAGGGCCCCTTCGTGCCCACAACAGAGGAGATCCACGAGGCGTTCGACCACATCAAGGCGATCCGGTACAACCAGCCATTGCATCTCGGCGGCGAGCTTAGCCACCTGCTCTTGACGCCGTTCCCCTCCGGACATGTGCTGGGAGGCACACTGTTCAAGATCCGTTCCCCGACGAGCGGTACCGTGCTCTACGCAGTCGGTATCAACCATACGGGAGAGCGCCATCTCGACGGAATGGTCACGGGCCAGGGCGGTCTGCAAGGATACGCAGAGGACATTCGACGACCAGACCTGCTCATCGTTGAGGGAGGAAGGAGCAACGCCGTCAACGCCAAGCGAAGAGAACGCGAGACCGCCATCCTCGACCTCGTCACTGCGACGCTGGCGGGCGGACGATCAGTGCTCATGCCGTGTGACGCGAGCCCGCGTCTGCTCGAGCTGCTCGTCCTGCTCGACCAGCACTGGAGCTTCAAGCGAACAGCGGCTCCGGGCGGACCGGCAGCGCAGTGGAACCACCCGCTCTGCCTTGTCAGCCGGACAGCGCAGGACATGGTGTCGTTTGCGCGCTCGCTGTTGGAGTGGATGGGCGGTGTTGTGCGTGAAAGCGGAGCCGACGACGTCGTTGCCGCCCTCGACCGGAGAAAGGGCCGCAAGCGCAAGGCGCTCGTGAATCTTGGCTCGGAGTACGGAGCACTGGACTTCAGGTACGCTGAAGCTCGGTCTATGTCAGCTGACACCACAGCCACGTACAGTTCTTCGCGACGCCCGAAGAGCTGCTCGAGAAGTACCCCGCGAACCGACCAAAACTCGTTCTCGCGATCCCGCCGACTATGTCGCATGGCCCGTCTCGCACGCTGTTCGCATCCATGGCCAGCGTTCCGGGCAATGTCGTCCTGCTGACGGGACACGGAGAGGACCGGACTCTGGCGCGCGAGCTCTACGCACGCTGGGAAGCGCACCAGGATGAGGGTGCGCACTACGGACACGGCAAGATCGGCCATGCCACGCCGATGGAGGGTCGTCTTGAGCTCGAGTTGGACGCCAAGGAGCCGCTCTCTGGCGAGGAGCTGGAGGCGTACGAGACTGCCGAGCGGGAGAAGCGCGAGCGCGAGGCGGCGCACCAGGCCGCCCTGGAGCGGAACAACCGCATGCTCGAGGCCGACGATCTGGAGAGCGACTCGGATTCTGACTCTGAGGCGGGCGACCTGGCCGGTCTGCACCAGGAGGGCGCGAACGCTTTTGCCGGCGACGGCGAGGATGCACGGACAATGTCCTTCGACATCTTCGTCAAGGGCCAGAGCGTGTTGCGCGGAACGCGCTTCCGTATGTTCCCCTACATTGCCAAGGGACGCAAGGTCGATTCCTTCGGCGAGGGTCTGGACGTCGGTCAGTGGATTCGCAAGGGCCGCGAGATCGAGGAAGACGGCGAGACGGAGGAGGTCCGCGCGGCGAAGCGCCGCAAGGCCGCCGAGGAGGAGAAGGCGAAGCAAGCCCCGGAGCCGCCGAGCAAGTTTGTCTCGTCCATCGTCGGCGTGGACCTGCACGCGAGCATCGCCTACATCGACATGGCAGGCGAGCACGACGGGCAAGCGATTCGCACCATCGTAACCGACCTGGCGCCGCGAAAGCTCGTCGTTGTGAAATCCACGACCCCCGCATCCGAGGCGCTGAAGGCGTACTTTGCGCAGACGCCCAAGATTACGCACGACGCGTTCTACCCCGGCCCGTACCAGCCGATCCAGATTGGAGAGCACGTGCAGTCGTACAGTCTGCAGCTGGGCGACAGTATGGGCCGCCTGCTCGCGGGCCGCCTGAGCCGGTTCGAGGGGTACGAGATTGCCATGGTGCAGGGCAAGCTGGCCTACGCTACCGGCTCGACGGTGCCCATCCTCGAGTCGGCCGATGTCGTCCTGCCCCCGCTCCAGGCCGAGGTCAAGGTCGAGGAAGAGGCGGACGCGGCCGCCGGCAAGGAAAAGGGTACGGCGCACGGGGGCGACACGGAGACGGACGCCGAAGCCAAGGCCGAGGCGGCCGCTGAGGCCGTGGGACCCGCCGGCGAGGCGGTCGAGGAGAAGGCAGAGGCGGAGGAGGACTCGCGGGAGGCCGTGACGGATGCGCCGGCGACGGCAGCGACGGCCGAGACGAATGCGGACGACGAGGCTGCAGCGGAGCAAACTGCCGTCAAGGCGGCCGCGGACATTGAAGCTGCGGTGAAGACTGAGCCTATCGAGGTCGAGGAGAACGCAGACGAAAACATCATCGACCCGGCCCACTCGCTCGCGGCCCGTGAAGCCCAGGCTCCCCCAAGTGGCCCGCTCACGCTCCCGAGTTCACTGTTCATCGGCGACCTGCGCCTGCTCGCGCTCAAGAACCGGCTCGGCACGCTCGGCATCCCGGCCCAGTTCGCGGGTGAGGGTGTCCTCGTCTGTGGACCTGGCGTCGAGCCCGGCGCCAAGGGGAGTATTGTGGCTGTCCGGAAGTTGGAGGAGGGCCGCGTCGTGCTCGAGGGCCCGGTCAGTGGCACGTACTTTGCAGTCAGGCGGGAACTGTACGGGAGCTATGCGCAGGTGGCGGCGTGAGCGAGCATCGCGGAGCGGAGCGACGTCAGTCGCGCAGCGGCGCAGCGGCGTAGCGGTGCAGCGTAGAGTACATCTTCGGTAGACTTGGTAGAGCCATGAGCAATGTATGCATAGCAGCACAACATAGGTCGGCATCTCGCTTATCGCAGCCTCGATCACGTCTTCGGTCAGATCCCGCGGAACCAAATAGAATGGCCGACTGACCGAACTGATGTCATCCATTCCGAACTGGCTTGCGGCAGCCAGCCAGCCAATCTACCAACCTCACCGACTCACGCAGCTCTCATAGATAAGTCAGGTCCGCAGGTCCGAAGCGTCTATCTCTCCACGCCTCGACCTTCAACCCAAGCAAGCAAGAGAAAGCAAGAGTAATGAGCACCCTCCCCCGCCTCGGACTCGGACTTCGGAACGGACTCGGCGCAGCAAAGATCAGGACCATGGCGACGGGAACTCCGCCCGGGTTCAAACGCTGGCCACTGCTGGTCAGCCCGACAGAGCTCCGGAATCTGCCCAAGGAGGTGAGTACGCAACGGAGCGAGCGTAGCGAGCGGAGTTGCTCTGCCCCTCTCTCCGTGTCTCCTCTCTACTGATTCCTCCCTGCTTCCTTTCGACAGGAGGGCGCTGGCCGCGCTGGGCCCACCAAGCTTTGTCGCTGGGGCCGAGCCGGCCGAGCCGTCCCAGCCATTCCCAACCAGAGCCGGTGGCTGAGTGGTTTGAGAAGGAGCAGTGTCGTAGCGAGAGAGAGAGGGTGGGGAAGATTCAACCTGGCTCACTCGCGCGGCTCACTCGCGCTGCGCGCTCGTTCGCTCGTGCTGACAGCAGAACCTTGCCGTCCTCGACGTGTCCTGGCACATGCCCAACAACCCGCGCAACGCGGACCAGGAGTACCTCCAAGGACCCCGGATCCCGGGCGCACTCCGCTTCAACCTCGACAAGGTCGCGGAGCATGATCCGGCCAAGAACCCCTTGGGGCTGACGCATATGCTCCCCTCGGCCGAGACTTTTAGGGAGGCTGTTGGTACGTCTCATCCTCTGACCTCTTCTCCCCTTCTTTGCTTCTTTTACAGCCCTGCCCACCAGAGCGAGCATTGCGATCAGCTTCCTAGTCTACACTGGTTAAGCTGACGCCCAGAGACCCTCGGCATCACGCCCGACACGCACGTCGTCGTGTACGACACGGTGGGCGTGTTCTCCGCCCCGCGTGGCGTGTTCACGTTCAAGGGTGAGTCAGCTGGCTCGCAACTTCCGCTGTAGCTGACCCCAGCCCTTGGCCACGACAAGGTGTCCGCGCTGAACGGCGGTCTCCCCCGCTGGATTGAGGAGGGCTACGACGTCGACGAGGAGGAGCTGAGCAAGGACCCCGTCGCCGCGAAGCGTTCTTCCTACCCCGTCCCGAAGAGGCACGACGACTACGTCAGGTGTAAGTGTACTCCACTCAAGCTCTGATTCCGCCATTGCAAAAGCTAACCCGCAGCGTACGAGCAGATGGTGGACAACTCGACCGCAGACCCGGCGCTGGCCGACGTAGTCCTCGACGCTCGCGCAATCCCGCGCTACGCGGGCGAGGCGCCCGAGCCGCGTCCAGGCCTCCCCAGCGGGCACATCCCGAACTCGCTGCCCTTGCCGTTCAACGACCTGCTGACCGAGCCCTCGGAGACAGAGCCGTACACGCGCTACCGGTCGCCGCAGGAGCTGAGCCAGATCATCATCGACGGCGTCGGCGGCAAGACGGTGTGGGACGAGATTGCGCTCGACGGGCGCGGGCTCGTCTTCTCGTGCGGCAGCGGCATGACGGCGTGCGTTGGCTGGCTGGCCGCGCGCGCCGTGGCTGAGGGCGAGAACCAGATGCTCGCCCATGAGGCAGTGTATGACGAGAGCTGGAGCGGGTACGCGCAGCGCAAGGAGTCAAAGATTGAGAAGGGACATGGAAACAAGGACGCCGTCAGGAAGCAGAAGTAATGCGCATGCAAGTGAGATTGGTGGGATGGAGAGTTTGGACGGGATCGCGGCTAGGCACTGGTGACTCACGGTGACTGACGGTGACTCACGGTGACTGATGGTGACTGATGGTGACTGATGGTGACTGACGAGGAACGACTAGACTGAGCTTCCACACCAACTCCGAGCTTGCAATATGCGGGATGTGACAGTCGCAGAAAGGTACTAAATACATAGAACAGAAGTGTTCGTCAACAAGAACTATAAACAAAGGTATGTAGGGTATAGTGATGTGCCGTGGGGGCTACTAAAGAGTTGACAGTAGTACTTTCGTCGGAACCAAGGAGGTCTCGATCGCTTGCAAGCGTGAGACCTTCATCAGGCTATGATGCGCCGCTCACGCCGCCTCAAACCTGTACTCCCTCCAGAGCCCCTCATCCGCCACCTTGTCGCGGTTCGGATGCCGCTCAGCCGGGGCAGCGGGCTCGAGCACGAGCGGCGGGCCGCTGAACGCCGGTGTGGCCGGCGAGGGCGCGGTCGTGGCGGGCGAGTAGGGCTGCGCGTAGGGAAGCTGGCTCCGTTCGCCCAGGCCGGGGCCGGGGATGGGCAGCGGCCTGGAGGGACGGTGGTGCGTCTCGCGATCCGAGTAGTAGGGCTGCGGCTGCGTCGGCTGGAATGTCTGTCCCGAAGCCGTTCCCGAAGCCGTGCCCGGGACGGTCCCCACCTGGTTGAAGGGCTGAAACCCGTGCGCGTGCGAAGGATACTGGGCGAGAGAGAGGTTGCGCGAGTGTCCGCGGCCTGCAAAGGAGTGACTATGCGCATGCGTAGGGTGCGGCAGCGGCAGCGCGCTGACTGGCAGAGGGGGCAGGGGGGCCTCCTTCTCCCTCACGACGTCCTTGTCCTTGGCCGGGAGAGGCGGCAAGCTCCCATCCAAGCGGGACGCACGAGGCGACGTCGACGACCTTGTGCGAGCGCGGATCTGCTCCCCGCTCGAAGACAGGAAGAGCATCTTGCCGCTCGGCTGCTCGACGTCCAGCGCCAGGTTCAGGTTCACGCTCCCCGCGCCGGCGGGCGCGCTCGCCGTCGTGCCCTCTTTGCCGAGTGCGACTTGACCCACAGACCCCGGGGACGGCTTCGCGCGGCGCATGACGACTTCCCACCGGATCTCCTCCCCGGTGCTGATGCACTGCACGCTGACCTCGTAGCCTGCGCCGAGCTCCCCGCTCAACCGACTTGGGATGGAGGGCAGGGGTGGCGGCGCGGCGGGCTTCTCCCGTGAATCGCGCAGGTCTCGCTTTTCAGACGGCGAACACGCTCGCGGGTGCTTCTCGACGGGGAGGCGGAGGGACGACGTGCTGCCTGCCTTTTGAGAGTAGAAGTTGGCGGACAGGCCCGCGCCGAGCCCGCCGCCGGAGGCTCGTGGGCGGGAAGGTGGTGTTGCGCTGTTGCTGGCCTGGGGTTGGGAGACCGGAGAGGCGCGGCGAGAGCACGGGGGTCAGGATCGCGTCCTCGGCGCTGGCGCCTGAGCTTGAGCTGACCGTTCCGCCAGAGCCCCGGGCTCGGTCTCGACCATCGCTGCCCCTTCGGCCGTCGCTGCCTCGCCTGTCCTCGCGGAGCTCCCTTGGCGGCTCGACTCGACCGAGCTCGGCACGTCCATCGCTCCCGCGTCTCTCAGCTAGAGGCCTGTCGTCCCGAGCGAGGCTGCTGAAGCTCGGCTGGACTCTCCGCCTCGTGCTCGGCTTGCGTGCCAGCCACTCGGCCGTGATACGGGGCTCCTCGACATCACTGCTCATCGGGCTCTGTGCCCGGCTGTGGCCCTTGGGCAGGATTGGTGCCGGGCTTGAACTGCGGTTCAGGCTGGGCAAGCTCGGCTGCGGCCGGAGCGGCGGGGGCGGGTTCCCACCTCTCCGTCTTGGTGGCGAGGGCTCCACACCCTCCGCGAACGCCGGTGATGGTGCGCGGATACTCGGCGCGCCGATCGTGCCCGTGCTGCTCGTGCTTGGCGTGATGGTCGTCGCCGGCGCCGAGGTCGCGCTCGCAGCGCCAGCGTTCAGGAACGGATGCTCGATGACCTCGCTCACGACCATGTCCCCGTCGTGGATGAAGGGGATCGGCAGGCGCTTGCTGTCGTCGGACCGCATGCTGCGTATACTCCCCGTATAACCCAGGGCCAAGGAAGCTGCACTGCCAAAGTGGTGCATCATGACGGGGCTGCTGAGCGTCTCCTGCACGAATCCGCCCGAAGGGGCGAGATTCAGCGCCGAACCGCTTGCACTTGGCCGACGTCCGTGAAAGCCCGGTTGAGGACGGTACTGCATGTCGATCGGGGAAGTGGCGCGGAAACTCCCCAGACTGCTGGAATGCACGAGGCTGAGACTCCCGTTCGAGCCGTTGCGGCGGTGCCACCCGCCCTCGGGGGCGAGTTGCTCCTCGTCCCTTGGCTCGCGGGGCTGCTCGCGCTCCTTGTCTTTCCGCTTGCCGGAGGCTTTTCGTCGGAGGAGGCGGGCGGGGTTGAGACGGCTCGGCGGAGGCGCCTCGGCGCTCGTGCTCCGCGTCAGCTGCGGAGACTGCGGTCGTGTCGGGTACAGGTCGCGCTCGTCGAGGAGGGAATGCGGGTAGGGATACATGTCGCTCGAGGCGTGGGAGCCCGGCGAGGTGGGAGAAGACTGCTGCTGTTGTAGAGTCGGTGTGGAGGGTAGTGGAGGCGAGAGGGGGTCGAGAGCTGCAAGCCTCTGTCGGGAGCTGTTGCTGAGGGAGAAGAACGACTTGGTCGGGGCGAGCTGCCCGTTCGCAGTCGAAGGCTTCACCTTCTTCTTGGACGGGGCATCCTTGCTTGGCGGGACAGGTGCGCTGCCACTCGCCTGCTGCTGGCTTTTGAAGAAGAAAGGCGCCATGTGGCTAGTGGGGTGGAGTGATGTGCTCGGGGTCGTTCAAGTCGTGTGTCGGACTGTTGTGGTCGTGCGGGACGCAGCTCCATGCAGTCACAGTGAATGCACAGCTCGCGTCCCCCTTATGCTTAGCAGCGCGATGTTCGTCGCTCGTTGACGCTTGACAGGTGGTTGGTGGCTGTATGCTGACGTGAGGGGCTGGCGTCGATCACCAGCGTCCGTGCCCCCGATTCAGTCGGTCGGATGCTGATTGCTGATTGTTCAAATTCGGCAGGCACTAGTGTCCGTGTTCGTATCGATTTTGGTCGTCGGGGTGGGGTGATCGCCGTCGCACGACAGGATGGAGGTCGAGGGATGTAATTTTGCGCCGTTCAGAGGAATAGAATGGACAGCGACGACAGTCAGAGTGATGGAGTGGAGAGGAAGAAAAGAAAACGCAACAGTGTTTCTTGCTCGCCGGTTGTCCAGCCTGCGCGCTCACCACCCGCCGCTGCTTGGAGCACGCACGCACGCAGGGAGGAGCAGCATGTAACGTGTGCAGTACGTGCTCCTCTCGATGCTTTCGAAAGCAGGTACGTATCTTTCTTTGGATTCACTAAGATTCCAAGCTTGTCCTAGCCTGCCGAAGCTGGACCCTGAGGTTGGCTCTGTAGCCGCAAGTCAACCGCGAGCGTACCGCTGCAGGAACGACGCATGTCCGCTCTGACGAGACCTGATGGACTGCTGATACGCAGGGAACCCGCCTGAAGTCGCCTGGAAGTCAGGGCGGGGCCAAGGGCAGAACGCGCGACTTAGCTCGCGGGCGGGAACTCTATTGTCTATTGTGACGACGCGGCTGGGCTGGCTTCGTTCGAGACAGGACCACCGCACGCACACAGGACTCGCGAAGGTATGCGTACGTGCATGCGCGCGTTCGAGAACGCATACGTGCATCACGCTGCATGTGTCGCGTACCCTCTGCTGCGGTGTTTGACGGTGAGTCAGGCGCTTCGAGTGAGACACAGTGGACCAAAGAGTAAAACAGAGTGAGGCTGAGGCGATTCAGAGATCGAAAGGATAGCATGGTTGTGGGTCTCGGCGGCGAGATGGAGGGGATGCCGCGAGGTCTGCCTTCGTTCCTCTGAGGAACGTCAACGGCAGGTACAGCCCGCGAGCTGGTCAGAAGCGGCCTGATAATGTCAGCAAGCGACTCACTCGTTCTCGAAACAACGGCATCTCTCGTGAACAGGGTGTGCAGTATACCGATAGCTTCACAGCCCCCCGCCACGACCGGGTCAGTACGATTAAGCATCACTAGGAGCGTTCCATACCGGCCCGTAAGATGCGTTATGCTCTGGCCTGCAACTATCTCTCCAGCCTCACTCAAGGAGATGTGCTAGAGTCTGCAAAGACTGAGTCGTCCGCCATGACCAGGAGAACGGGCAGGGCGAGGCTAGCGGTTCGAGCGCGGCACGCCAATGCTCAAGGTTCAGAGTTGGGACCTCTCTAAATCGCGAACAGAAGGGCCAATGCATGGTCGAAGATCGTCCGAGGCTGTCAGCCCCTAGCGGCCCAGGACGAAGACTTGCGGCCTCGCCGGCTCGGGACGCGACTGGCTTGCAGGAGCGTCACTCGAATTCTTCCCGCCCTGGAACCTTGCTGGCGAATATCGGCGTGGAGAGCTGGCAGCCGGTCAGACGTCTAATTCAAAGTGTCCATTTGGCTCGGGGTAGCAGCAACAGTTCTCGTAATGCCGAGCCTAATGCAAATGTACGTACTTCCAGCAAGCCGTGCGCTTGGTCGCCCCCCTAGAGCCTCCTTCCTCTCTGCGTGTACGAACATCAAACCACACCTTCGAGCCATGCACTGACGGGCGCACGTACTGCTTTCAAGCCGCTGCCGCACCGCCGTGTGGCCAGCCGGCTGTCTCGAGCTGACACACGAGAGCTGCCGACGGGGCATCGGCGGGTCCAGAGGCGAGCTTCGGTCCCAGAGGCCGGGAGCCCCGATGTTCATGCTCGAAACGTATAACCTCGAGCATCAGAAGCGAAACAACATATGCAGTTTTCTGAAAACTTTCTGTTCAATTACGAAAGCCGCGAGTCGCGAACCAAGAGCTACATCGTTCTTCGCATCATGAGTCTCAAACTAAGCACTTTAGCCATCTTGCATCCGACACACATCTGGTCCGGATGTACCGAAGGCCCCTGTAGCCGCACGTCCCGGGCTTCTGATGCCGTTGATGTTGTTCTCCTGCGTTTCCATCGGGCCGTGACCCTCCTGCCCCCGGTGAACTGGCTGAGGACGGGCGAATCTGCTGAGCTTGACGCCAAATCGCTCGCCCCCGGAGCTCCTCTGTCTCTCACTTTCGAGCTCTAACAGCCCTGGCGCAATTCTACGCGAGCCGCAAAAGTTTCTTACGCGAGCTACTACCGTCCTATCGGGTTTGTGACAATAGCGACCCGCCGCTCTGCCAGAGAGCGGGGACATGAAGTGTCCGAGTACCATACACTCTTCCGATGAATCAGGCGCGGGTAAGAAACAGCAGTCGCCTGCTTTTGCCTCTTGCACATTGGTCCGATGAGGTCGCTTCCGTAACCCGTTCATTATGGGACCCAGAGGAGCTGAGCTCGATTAGCCCTGCAATCGGCAGCACACGGAACCCGCAGAAGTACGACGAGCACATGCCTGAGGGTAGCAGAAGACACCTGAAGTCCGCATGATGAGCACCAATTGTAGCACACGCGACATGAAATGTTTCGCCGCGCGCACCCTGGGCTTCCCTCACCGACCCACCGGCCCGACCGAATCCCACTGTGTCCCACTCATCCTTTCCAATGGTAACGAGATGCAGCCCCAGACTGCAGCTTGGCCCGGCAAACTCGAAGAGAATCGACGAGGGAACGAACCGCATCATTCAGCTGTCGGCGGGAAGATATTCACGGCCCTTGCCGGCTTTGCGGCCACCCTGCGCTACCATTAGTACTAAGCTTCATGGCCGGGCGCTCTGCCCTCACCGTCGAGGACATTGATCGCAATGCGGGTCTCGGGGAAAGCCACGGCATACAGAGTATTCAATGCTCGTTGAGGAGCCGACGTCCCCGAACCCCGAAAGCCCCGCTCCGCGGCGGTCGCCTCCTTTCCGTGAGTCAGTCAAGCACAGCGGCGCGGCAAAGGCGGCAAAGGCCCAGCTACCCATTGCAAGACTTGGCTGCCTCCGCTGTCACTGGTCCGTAACCTGGGACCTGGAATAGGGATGGGACAACGGACATGACCCATTGCTCGTGCAACGGAGTACGCACGCAACGGTCTCTGGCTCAGGTCTCTTCAGATTCGCTCTCGGCTTCAAGTTGTCCTGAAGCGTCCTCAAGCTGGCACTGTAGGTCTTCAGAGCACCACGTCAAGCTAAACGACAGCGACGCGTCGTGCGTCAAGCTGCGTCGAGTTTCGAAGAACGCCACGGGGAAAACAGCCTTGCACCCACTGTGGGTATGAATACACCCCCTAGGTGTACACAGACGCTCAGCGAGGAACAAAACTCTTCACTGTGGGACGCGCAGTGGCTTTGAGGCTCGCTGTAGTCCACTGTGGGTCGTGCTAAGTTATGCTCACCGCTGCAACAAGACCACTGCCCCCTTCGGGACGTAATCTGGGTGGCAGCTGTCCAGTGGTGAGCGGCAATGTCAGTGGGTGCGTCAGAGATGGACCAACCTACTCCTTGTTTGCTCCGACGACAATGCTTCTTCCTGTAATCCCGCCTCGAGCCGGCCCGGAGGGCTTTCGACGCATAACATGAGGAGTGTGTTGTGCCGGAACAGCCGCCGTTCACGGGGTTGAGGGCCGCTGTGCAGGAACACCCCATCTGACACGCGACCCGACGCGGGACCCAGCTGGCACATTCGAGCGCTGAAGCACGTCTGCCGCAATCTTAACGCGGTCTCGGCGGTATTAGGTTGATGTGCATCGGGCTTACGGCTCCAGCAGGGCCGTCCCCGTCTACGTCTCCGCCACGCCGGTGTCGCACGACTCACACGCACACTACCGGCGAGTGCGCGATGGCTTGGGTACGTCGTCAGGCGACGAGCGTGGTCGTAGTGATAGAAAGCATTCACCATGCTCGGTTCCCACTCCGATATGTCACTCAGTCACGCTCACGCGTGCCGCACATACATGCGAGTGCAATCCTGGAGGTTGCTTGACGTCAAGGAGTGGCACTTGGCACAGCCCGCTGGCTGTTACAGGGCCAGGAGGTCGAGCTTAATCGTCCCCAGTGAGGCGCGCTGCAGCTGGGATGCCCCCCACCATGCGTCCGAATTGAGGCCAGATATTACGAGATCATCTCGAGAGAGAACAGCTGACACGCACGCTGCGCATCTTAAAAGGTTACTTTGGACAATTCCTAGGACATGAGCCGTATGCTGTGTGGCCACCACATCTCCCCTTTAAGGTTCGGCTGGTCCTACGAAGGATGCGCGACGACTCACGAGTCAGCAATCACGTCAGCACCACCCTTATCCCTGCACGTCTGTGCACCAAGAGTCGCACAAAGTCGTCAAGCTGCGCCGTTCATGGTCCATGCCGTTAACAACTCGTCGCACGCCTGTTCGTCGTGAACATGCCCGCCGGCGAGCGGCTTGGTAAGCCGGTCGTGGGTCGACGAGTACGTGAGTCTGTACGTGAGTGAGATCAGCAATTAGCAAGTTCTTCCGGGTTCCATGCAGCGAGCGAGCGGGGATCACAGCTTTCGCGGACGTGCCGAAGTCTCGTCGTACGCTGCGGTGGCGTGGAATATGATCGCGTTCGCTTCGCCACGCAGTTACCAAGCGTGTCCTCGTCCTCGTGTGCGCACTAGGCAGATGCCGGGGAGGCCTGAGCGCTAAACGACCCAAAGAGCGACGCCCGAACTCATCACATCGCCGGCGTGTCCTGTTCGGACACCAAAGCGTCGATCGAGGTTGTGGAGCCGCAGTCTGTACCTGGCCCGACATTGCGCACCACCGATATGTGCGCTATGGTAGCAAAGATTAAGCTCGCGGTGACGCTGCCGTGCCCGGCTCAACCTGGTGGACGACCAGGTCTTAAACAGCCAGGTTGGAGAACCGGGTCAGTCGCGGTCTGGTGATCACTTAGCCCGTGTGCCGTGCAGATGTTGTTGCAGGGTGGGCTCACATCTTGTGGAAGGTCTGGGCGTACGCAATGAGCTCGCAACGCAACGAGCGGTCAGCAAGTCAGCTGCGAAGACTGGGATTCGGGGTCACGGCGGCACAGCAAAGCAAGCATGTGTTCATGTGTGAGAGTGCGTGGCTGAAACGAAACGGCAATAAGCTCCATTGTTCAGGACGGCCCTACCAGGTAAGCGACACAGCACAGCCAGAGGTGAACGAACATCTGCAGAGCCGATTAGAGTTGCTATCTGTACCTGGACCTGAGCTGCTGAATAGTCACGGTCAGCGGGCTATAATAATTGACAGCCGAGACACGAGAAGCTGTGGCGATGAGACGAGAACGTCTAATGTGCCCAGGAGCATCAGCTGTCTCTGGAACACTAGAGGTATTGCTGTGTGACCGAGGAGCGGAGATAGGAACAGGAATTCACGTCGTTCAGCCCTCGTATGGAATCGAAAACAGCCAGTGTGTGTAGTTTGCGTAGCTCTGCCGACGTATGGTCTGCACCATGAGCGCTGCTGCTTCAATCGCGACACACCGACACATGGAGATCAGCGTGCGTCTTGGGGGTCCCCCAATGGCTCGAGCGTGTGCTTGTGTAAGTGTGTCAGTTCAAGGCAGGTTCATCGCTCTATTGTTTGTGTGTATTGTGAATATTGTTGAGATTTCGCGCATTTCCACCACACTACTACGTACGCTAGGAAGGACATGCCGCATACTGGACCTGTCTGATGTGCAAGTGCATGCGCCACTGTGGGAAACAATTCAGCGCAATGGTCACCGGGTCCGTTAAGTCTAGCTTAGCAAGACACCCAGTATCGGTTAGTCATCAACGGCCAGCGCCTAGATCGCGCAATTCCGTAGCTCCCAGCGCTTCTACGACTTTTGAAGCAGCTGATCGCGGCTCGCGTACGGCTGAATCTGCAATAACGGGCGGAACTGCATTCATGACCATCCGCGCCAAACCGAGATCTAAGCGTTCAAGCCTCGGCAGATGACGAATGGAACTCACGAATAGCCCGAATCCCACACGATCGCTTTGAGAGGTATGTGGGCAATGTGCAAAACGGTTAGTACGCTCACCTGACCTGGATCTTGTCTTCGGATCCTGGACCTGACACTAGACGTCGTTGCACTCATAGCTACCAGATGCCAGGTACCTCTCTAAGGTCCCGGTAGGTTCCCATCATCGACGACGGTGCAGTAGGCAGGTACCATGAGCGGAGTGAATGATGTTATTGTGAACCATATGTTCGGTGTCTACTCCCTCGGCCGTACGCGTTATCTTCCCACGAAGCGGAGTGGGACATACAGCGCCACTATCCGCGCCGCAGGTCCCAGTGACTGTGCGACCTTATCACTGCGAGATCCGAGCCTGAAACTAGGCCGTGAGCTGATGAGGCGAGCATAATGGGTTTTTCTTGCGCAAGGCTAAGTCAGACTAGGCAGGGAAGGGGTGGAAGCGAGCAATGTCAGCAGCTCCACGCATTGTCAGCCTGAGGACACCGCAGAGCCAAAGATAGTAGGCCGCGGAGCGAGGTGCACGTTATCAGATCCAATGTGCACGTTGCTCTTCAGCAATTTTCAACAATCTGAAACTCTGATGCTGTGGCATTGTGCCCTAAGTGGGACCTCGGGGCATACACCTGTACCGAACACTGAGCTCCACTCGCAGCTCCTGCAACATCTGCTTATCAGCTGTCTGCAGGCTGAATGTCAGCCAGGTCCTCCAAGACAATGTTGCCAACGTCAGCCTGAGCCACCGCAGGCTGGCGTGCGCCGCACCGCAGTGCCTCGCGGCCATCTCCGTGCGCACATCAGCAACAAGCGCATCTCACAAGAGTTCCTCGACTGGGAAGTTCTCATGTCCCACAAGAACGGAACAAGATCTAAAGTGGGGGGGTGGATCCAACGTCGGTCACTTCTGCTGTGCTCTCGTTCATCACTGGGGTCGAAGCCAGAGTAGATGCCGCGCAAACCGCTTAGCGCGGTGAAATGGCGCTGAACATGCCGCAGGAGACCGGTGCAAGAGTTGTACCTGCTGATCTACTATAGCTCTCGTGTTCCCTCTTTTATGCGTTGTCTCCGCGGCATAACATGGGGGTGTTGTCATGCCTTTAGCGTCCGCGGTGAGGCATTTCGAGCCATTTTCTACCTCGAAATGACTCCAAGACCGTCATGTGATGTTCATCCTCCCAGGGTTTTGTTCGGACGACCGTAGTGCCATGTCAGGCAGTACGACCGGGAGAGGGACAATTCTCTCTCGGCATACTACTCTGGGCGATGGTGAACTGTTGGCCACCTTGGTTAGTACCTGGCCCTTCGCTAACTTCCGTCGGCTGGTGCTCCATGCTCCAACAGCCGTACTCCAACCTACGGTCCCGGCTCATTGGCACAGCCCTCCATCAATTATCTCGTGTCGAGTGCGGCATGCTGAGGTATGCCCGCTGTCAGGGCTCCTCTTTGATCTTGCAGCGCACTTGGCACTGCGCCGCGACTGCCCTTAGCTACTACATGTCTTGGCTGATGCTACGTGTGTTATCGACAGCCCTTGAGGCATTGACGTTAATTGCGTGCGAAGTCGGCGCTCTCAGAGATTACTCCATGTCAGTTTACACCTGCTCGCCTGTCAGAATTGCTGCGACGTTGTGCCAGACGAGTGATTCTATACCATAGAAGTACATGCAAACTGAACTACTCTACTGCTGCTACAGTCCACAGATCCAGCGGCCTGCGGTATGATGTCGTATTTCCTGATGAAACATTATAGTTACAACGCTTCTAGACGTGATGAAGGATGGTTGCTGGTAATCCTTTTGATGCTGATGGTATTTAATGCTGATGTGTTGTGCTTGGTGCAGATTGCTTGAGATGGGGTTGATTGCTGATGCGATAAGGCATTCGATGAATACTCGGAACAAGAAAGCCGGAAGGAAGTGGAAGAGCAAATCGAATTATTGATTGATGAGAGGCGTCACAGACGTAGTCATACGTTAAAGCAGCATGGAGAGCTGAGGGTAAGGAAGCGGCCCAGGCTGCGCCTGTTGGAAGGGCTTGCCCTCGAATTGCTCGAAGACAGGGGTCGTGAGCGACGAGATGGTCTCGACGCCAGGGATCGTGCCGGAAATGTCGAGGCGAGGGGTGGGAGGGAAGGGGCTCTCGCTCGAGCCAGAGCTGGACCGCTGAGGACGAGGAGAGCTGGTGTCGGCGCGGAGTGACGGGGGGACGCTGTCGTGGATGTCGAGCTCGGGCTCGTCGAAGCTGAACACGGGCTCCGCGTCCGAGGAAGCCTCGTAATAGCGGGTGTCGACGTAGGGAGCGGCGACGGCGGGCTGGGGGATGACAACGGGGGGAGGGACAGCGGCGCGGCGCGAGCACGAGGTACGTTTGTCGTCGGTGAACGAGTCAATCTCCAGGATGAGCTTGCGCAGGCGATCAAGGGTGATGCGCTGAGCAGGGTCAAGGGTGAAGATCTGGCACAGGATCGACAGACAGGCGTTGGAGATCGGGAGGATGCGACGAAGGAAGTTGGGATCCCTCAGGAAAGCGGTGAACGACTCGTCGCCGGGGGAAGCGCAGCGCCAAGGGTTTCTTCCACAAACGAGGTTTACGAGGATGACACCAAGCGACCAGACGTCAGCCGTGCGCGTCGGGTAGCTGGTAGCGTTGTGGCTCCACTCTCCGAGACACTCGGGGGCGATGTAGAAGGTTGAGCCGCAGCCGAACTCGGTAGAGGTCGACTCCGAGGTGGCCAGACCGAAGTCAACGATGCGCACACGGGTGCCATCGTTCGAGCAGACAATGTTCTCGGGCTTGACATCGCGGTGAGCGATACCAAGCTGGTGAAGCCAGTCGACACCGTCAAGGATCTGCAGGAAGACGGAACGGATCAGGTCGTTGTCTCCAGCATACTGCGATCGGTCAGTGACTCTTCCAAACGTTCGCACGGATCGCCGTGGCTTACGAGAGCCACCACGCCCGAGCACGATAAAGTACTCACCCTCTGCTTCTCTGTGATCATGGCGAACAGGTCACCCTCATCTCCGTAATCCATAACGACGTAAACACAGTCGTGCTCCTCGACGAGACGGTCCATGCCAACGATGGAGCCGTGACGGGATGCGCGGTGGTGAAGCTCGATCTCACGGAGCTGGAAGCGGCGTTGCCTTTCATCGATGCCGTGACGACGGAGCTGCTTGACAGCACGCTTAATGGGCCGGCCATAAAGGTAGTCGAGAGCATAGTAGACAACACCGTAGGCACCAGTGCCAATCTCAGAGATCAACTGGATGTAGCCGTTGTCAATGAAGCGGGGCTGGTGAGTCGGGCGCTGGGACGGCATGGTGTTGTGTATGGGGAGAGGGATAGGTGTGATTGAGTTTACAGTTGTTGTGTCGATCCAAGACCTTAGCTTGGAGCTTGGAGGGGTTGGGAGGGCAGCGAAGTTGAGGTTCAGTTGGCGCTCGCGGCAAGCACAATCCAACTGATGTTTGGGGAGGGGGGAAGGATGATGTTGCAGTCGAAAGAGAGAAAAGCGTTGACGGCGACGAAGTGTTCGGAGAACGGCGACGACAACGACTAGAGAAGAGAGATGTGAGGTTACAGAAAATAGGTGATTATGGTAGGGAGGATGAGAACGAACAGGCTACACTATATATATTAAGAAGGTTGGCTGGAGATCGGTCGCTTTTGGGCTTGGTGGTGGATGGTGACGGCGGGAACGCGTTGACGCTGCCATTTTTGACAGGGGCCAGCGGTTCAGACATTGCAGGACAGGATTCAGCACGAGCGCGGCGCAGCGCACGAGATAGAACGTCCGTTCCACCTCAGGGCAGTCTCGACATCCAGGATACCCAGGTTGCAAGAGCATGTGAGGGTCTCCAGGGACCATGGCCCGCCAAGCGGCGCGGCAGCTGAGCTAACCCGCGGTCGGTGGTGAAGCCCGCCATCACCAGGGTCCCAGGAGAGGGACAGCGGGGGACCGGAGGGAACGGAGAGCGAGGGGCAGGGGAGGTGACGGCAGGCAAGGCGAGGGTTTCATGATGGCATCAAGCGCAGTGGGGTTACGTGATTTCTCGGTTTGTGTTGGCCTAGATCGAGAATCGAGAGCGCATTTCATCAGTTCAGGGTTCTCTTTGCGCTCTTTAGCTCTCCTGCGTCTCCTAGGTCCACTCCAACTTCCCGCCTCTCGACTCCAGCCCCTTGGCGATTGGAGGGTACGTACTACTTTTGGATTTCCTTGGGATTCATCCCACTTTTGAGTTCGTGCTACTATACCGAGGCACAGCTCACGCGCGGACGGTCAGCAGGCAAAGTATCTCCTAGTGTACCTGTATCTGCGCACTGTCTAGTGTCTGGCCAGCTTGCAGCTTGCGTGCACCCCGAGACCCCGATTACGCCCGTACCTGCTGTACTCACACTCCACGACGAGCTGAGGGCGAACAAGCAGGCAGGCCAGCCGAGGTTTGTCTAATTCCTCAGCTAGAGTGCGGCTCGCTCTCGAAAGCCTGGGAGAGTATAGCCTAAGGAAACTCCAAGCTGAAGCATGTGGCGGGCTGTAAAGCTCCTACTCTGAGAGAAAGCTGATCTCGTCTTTCTTCGCGTTGCCGCGCGCGCTCAGATCGTCCTCATGGTTCATGTACAGGAACAGGCGGAAGGGGCACACCGTAAGCTTGCTCAGTGAACTGCATGGTGTACACAAGAGATGCACGATGCAAAAGATTGCTCTTGTTTGCGTCGCATACCACATCTCACAGCTCACAGTGGACATGTGCACTACTTCCTTTGGTTTTCTTCGTGACACGACGCGCCGCAGTGGCGTCTTTCTCTTCGCGCCCAGTCGTCCCGTGATATCCGGATGGCTGAGGATCTACGGTGCGCGGCGTACAGCAATCGTACACCAGGCGTTCGCTGCTCCTAGCACTAGGCGTTCGAAAGAGGGTCCGAAGGGTTCGTTGAGGTCATCCGTGACGTCTAGAAAATTAACCTGTCTCGTCGCCTGCAGTCTGACGGCGGCCAAGGCGTCCTATGTGTAGTGACCTGGAGGGCCATAGAGTGGGTCGTCCGCCCTATACGAGGTGAGCGACATGCGTCAGTGGTAGTGGGGCATGATGGGCAGTGCAGGGCTAGAGGAAGAGTGGTGCCTGTTCATGAACTTAATGTGCAATGTACGACGAGCGAACAGCCCTGTCGGCGCACCTGCTGATATCTCCCTCGCAGGGCACATGGAGGAATGAAATGTGCCTCTCTCTCTCTCCTAAAGAGCGCACTCCCATCACGAGGATGACGACCATTGCCAGTCACATCTGGATGGAGGCACTCCATTGCCGCAGCAGCCCACCCATGCAGCCAAAGGACGCTTGGAGCAGCTGGCTTATTTCCCTTAAGAGGTTGCATCATCATGTACCTCCCATCAGCCAGGACCGCCGTAGCCCTTCTGGCCATTGTAGGGCCGCATTCATGCATTGGAAACGCCAGGGTGGCCGCCGCTCCCTCGCCCTTACCTCTGCCACGTTAAGCCTCTCCCGTCCTATTTGGATAGGTGTGTTTTCTAGGGTACTCAACCACAAGCTCAATCGCAGGATATCCTGGGGCATCCCAAGGACATAGGAATAACTCTCCTCTGGCACGGCGCGGGCAGCGCAGTCAGCTCGACAAAGCTGGCATTGCCTCCCAGGACACAGCTGGCTGTGACGTGTGCTCTGCCTGGTCCATTCCAGAATTGATTCATGGTCCCAAACGCAGCCGAACGTAGCTTGAGCGGACGCTTTTTTCCTTGATTAAACGCCACCTGGCGTCTTCGTTCCGGTCACCGGCTGAGTGGGCGCGCGCCCTACGGTCCGACCCCCGGTCGAGGACTGTCTAGTTGGCTGCATGTACGGAGCGGCAGTACGGTCACCCGAACCCCCGACCGCTGGTCCCCTATCGCGGCCGAGGCGTAAGCGCCTCCACAGGCCGGGAGTCACCCGGTCATGGCCGCTCATCGTCGTGTCGCCGCCACTTGCCTCTACTCGTTGCCGTCGTTCCTTGGCCATCAGGACTGTTGGACCCTCCTTGCAAGCACCCCGCGCATCCAAGACGGGCGGGGGAGGAGTGCCTGGATCCCCCGTGAACGTCGCCTTGGTGCCAATACTCAGATACCGCCACAGCCAAGTAAATGATCCCATGAGACGTCTTGGGTCATTCTCGTCATATTTGTGTGCTCGTGCGCAACGAAGCTCTCAGACCGCGCGGGAATGCTGTCACCCGTGCAGCTACTTCCACACCACGGATGCGCACAGCCAGGACGCGGGTTTCAGGGCGCGAAACTGGGCAAGTGAGCCTTGCGAGGATGAGATGACGGCATAGCATTGCCGTCTGACAGCCCGTGCGTCTGTCCCAGATACCTTGGACCCATATGTAAATGCGATATGCCTTTAACTGACGGTCCTGGTTAGTATTGGGGCAGATTAGCCTTGTAGCAAATCACGGCATAATAGTCGATCCCGACATGCGGCGTGCGTGTCAGAGATCACATTCAAAGATCGAAACGTAATCCTCGGCTCTTAGGGAATGCGTGCTGGAGAGTACGCACTCACCCGATCCAGAAAACGGCCGACGCTTGGACGCTGGGCGCGGTAAGTATGGCTCAGAGCTTTCCGCGGTCAGATGAGCAGCCCTCTTAGCAAACCTTGTACGGCAGATGATAAGTGTAAGTCGAGTACCCCCACAGCAGGGTAGGGGCTTGAGGCCGTCACAGGATCCCATGATCAGCCAGGCATGCTTGACGGGCGGTGAAATGCTGAATGGGCAATGGACGTTCGGGCAGGCACAGGGCTTCTCGGCTCCAACGAACCACTGCCCCTCCTGAACCCGCGAACCCGGTCCGCTTGGGTGTGCACACCCTTCTGGACCTCCCCCCCGCGCGCGCGCTCCCAGGTTCACAATAAGTCAGGTGAATGGGTGAATTGCACAGATGTCCAGTTGCTGGCCAGACTTGCTGGGCTGGTTAAACTGCCGTACTAGCTGTTCCTGACCGAGCCCACCGGACCCCTTATCCCGCCTAAAGTCTTCCCGTAGAGACGTTAAAGTTTCCGGAAACTAGAGGCCCAGACCTGTTACAGAAGCGCGGTTTGCCACCCGTGCCACCCGAATGACCCCGTACCGCGTACCGCCCTCCGTGATCCGTCAGTTGGGATCATCTTACCTCAGCGGAGACCACGAGACCTCGTACCAGGCTCGTTTCACCACGAGCATTGTCGTGTCGCGACACAGGACCTGACCGTCAGAGGCCTAGTCCTACTTCTGACCGGCCGACCGGCCACTCCAGACGCTCCGAGCGTTGCCGCACCTCGTTCAATTGATGCATTCAGCTTGCTTTCCCCAGTCTTACAGTGAGCGGGCTCGTTGATAGCCCGCTAGCGTGCGGCGTGAGCGGGAAGTGCCCCATTCATGCGGCGCTGCGCCATGGGCGTGAGGCATTTGGGGCACCTGGCGCGCCCAAGTCCCGCAGACGCTTGGCTGTCGTTCATGGATAATGTTTGGAAGGATCAACCATCCAAACATCTGTCTGCATTCATGACGATCTTCGTCCAGGAAAAAGATGTTCGAACGCCACGCCGACCCACCTGGTGAGCATGCGGTGCACCAAAGCCACTTCGGTGTGACGAAGCGTTACACAGCGTGTCATCCGGGCTCGGCGCCGGGTTGGCACCGCAGTTTACGCCACCGACCACAATCCTTCCAGGATGCTCAGGACGTCTCGACTGTCAAACCTGGTCTGCCTCAGGATATACGTTCACAACCTAAGCCTACAGGCTTTTAAGAGTAAATGGGACTAACTCGACCCGACTCTTGGGTGCCCAGACAGAATACAAGGCCAGGGAGCACAGGGCTGAGGATATCCAGCTTCCGACTCTGCCTAAACCCAGGGAAACCCCCTGAGCCGAGGGCCACCTGACGCGGACGCCAACTGAGGCGTCAAGGCACTGGACACTGGGGGCTTCGGGCAGACAGGAGCGAGGCGGTGGCTGCGGCTAAACGTCGCAAAAACAGAGTTTCGATCACAGACCGCTATTACGGCATTACCATGCCCTCACCTCTGGAGAGCATGCGCAGCAGCGGCCCAGACGCCCCAAGTAGACCAATCCCTCAGATGGATGGTCAGCGCGGGAAGCGCCATGTCCTGACCTGCAGCCTTGGTGAATCACTCGCTGAAACTTACTGACTGCGCCGGAGCGAGGACGCTCACCAACACAGCTCACACGCCGGAAGTCCCTAGACGCCCATTCACCTGCGTGATATTCAAGACATCACACGGAAAGAGGAACGGAACATGACGCAGTGGCTACTGAGGGGGCCGCG